GAGAAATGCAAGGGATTTGCTTTGCTTTGGTCAGTTGGGCTGCGCAGCCTCGCTCCGTCCGCCCGAGCTTTGGGATGGGGCTGCTTCTCTGCCCTAGTGTTTGTGGGTGTGCACGGTTTGTGCACTTGCTTTTCGCTGTCGTGCATGGCTGGATGTTCAGAAATCCTTAAACGGTGTCACTGGCTCTGCACGACGAATATTCACAGGTGTCCTGGTTTTTGAGTAGCACATTTTTTTCCGAGTTCTCCAGTTATATGTGCGGCATGAATTGGCTTTAAGAAGCCGAGAGCAAACTGTGTACTTGTGTATGTGTGTGTACATATATATATATATTTTTTTTTTCTAGTTCTATGGGTAAGCCATTTTCTGGACAATCAGTGCCTAAAGGAACATGAACTTTAATATTGCACATTGCAACATAGAATTAGATGCTCTGAAATACAGTTTAATAGAATGTTTTTACATAATATGGTTTATTTTTCATGTCCATCAGGACACATTTTGGATGGGAGGGAAGCTCCTCTCACATACATGCTCTATTACTGCTGCTGAAAAATGCTTTTAGTTGGTCATGTAGTATCAGAAGGAGCTTTGGTGGCAAAAGCAAGAGAGAAATAGTGAGCAAATGGCATGAAGATTTTGTGCTAGTTTAGCTTCTTCAACCAGATGGATTCAGATGCCGGGAGAAGGGCAACGTTAGGAAAGCAAGTGCAGGATTTTAAAAGTTGTAATATGGATTTCAGAATTTTTACAAGGTTAAAATATTTTAAAAGGCTTTTATGGAGGTGGGAAGGAGAAGACACGTTTTGTTGGTCAGAGTTGTTAGTTAATTGCTGGGTAGTTTTTAGCAACATAGACAAAAAAGTCAAGAACTGGAATTTAATAGATGACCAATTAGGTGATTTTTAGCTACTGGCTATATTGCCACTGAGTCTAAATGCACTAACTGTAAATCATTAAATTGATGTTAACTTATCTTTCTTTATAAGACTATTTGCTTTTCTTACCAACGTGAGGATTTTGAATGGGAAGAAATCTCCCTTTGAAGAAAATATTTCCATTGGGATTTTGAGGAACTGCCTTGCCTTGTGGGTTTGTTTAATTTAGTGTTTAATTTCATGCTGGAGAAAGAAATCGKGTGAGTTTTGGAGTCTCCCTGTGTTCTGCTCATGGAGCAGCAGAGCCTGCACGTTGGACTTGGAAAACTTTCCTGCGGAAAAGTCTGGTGCTGCGGATAAGAGGGTGCTCGGGCTCTGCCTAATTTTGTCATTTTGGTGGTTCAGCTCAGCGCAAGAGCCAGTTTAAGTGATTTGTCATTGGGGTGAACCAAGAGCTGGGCTCTGAGGCCGTTCCTAGGAGCGATCCGCAAATAGCCGTGACTTACAAATGGGGATACCAAATCCATCCCAGCCCATTTAAAAATTCCCAAGCCACCGTAAGTTATTTGCTGTGGCAGTTCCTGCCTCTCTCCGGTTGCTTTAGGAGCAGTCGTTCCTGCAAACTTCCAGTGTATCCAACTGGGAAGTTTGCACTGATTGGAACAGCACAATTTCCCCGTTATTCTGCCCTCGAACTTGCAGTTTGCCCTTTCAACATAAATCAATGTCCAATTTAAAGCCTTAATATAACATTTCTAATCTTAATCTGCACTTCGTTTCCTGCATACTAGCCCCAGCACACGAAAGAAAGCTTTTTAAAGTGAAAAACTTGAATTTAGAAGAGCGCTGGGTATGGAAACTGCAGAGCAGCAAAAGAGCAGTTATCGTGAAATCTTGCTTCCTGTATTCATCAGATAGCTCAGAGTTTCTTTTTTTTTATCAAAAGGATACTCCACCCTTTTATTATGCTTGCGGGAATTATATCTTTATGTGTAAAAAGGAGCATTTTTGAAGAAACGGTTGTAATGGCTTTTGAAGCAGTTAATTTCTGGGTAAAAGAGACGTTTTGACAATAACCGAGTTCTGTTCGCCCGTTTCTAATTTGCCTCAATCTTTGTGGGGAAGAATTTAGAGGTTCGAGTGTTGAATTTTAATAAATGCTTCCTTCGATTCCCAGGGGCCTGTTCTGGACACTCTAGGAAGTGTGCAGGAAAACTGGATATACTTTTAGGAATAGGTTTCTCTCTCCCTTTTTATTATACAACTCGAATCCCTCCCTGCAAACACAGCTGTATAGCCTGAAACTTTAACCCAATTTAAGTGGAAACAGTGAGGTAGTTTGTGTAAGTGGGTTCCCATTAAAAAGGAGGATTGAGAAGAATATGGCATTGTTAGTGATGACAGCAAGTCAGTAATTGGGTTAAATTTAAAATTCTTGATTCCCTGCTAAAGTTACATATGTCCAGAGCAGCTCTAGTGACCTGAACAGGATCACATAAATTTCCTGCAGTGTTAGATAAGAATATAATGGCTTGCAAATGCTTGCAAATACATATATATATATATTTAAGTAAAAAAAAATCTTTTAAGAAGTGTTAGAGAAATGCTGGTGGAAGGGAAATTACTGCTTCATTTCAGATCCGTTGTTTGAGAAACATTCCTTCTCGACAGGCATGCCAAGGAGAAAGGAACGGTTTAACAAGCAAAAGCTTTTTCCTTACCAAAAGCTTTTTTGGGGAAAGAACTGGAATATTTAGCAATATTTTCAACTGTCAAGCAGCCATTATCTTGGACACATAATAGAGAAGTGGAAAAGCTGTAATGTCGATTCATTAAGTCCTCGTGGCTCAAGAAATTAATGCATCTGGTGAGCACTAAGTAATCCATTATCTTACTGCACTATCTGGATTCACCCCGAGAGCAGGCAGCTGCTAATTGAATCTGGAGCTGGAGTTGTCATGTGAAATGTTTAAGATTAGGCTCAATTTCTCTATTAAGAAGAGCTAGTTTGGTTGGTTTCCGAGATAAAACCCAGCAAAAAAACTCCTCTGCATATTTAACCCCTGCAAACTATTCCCAAGCAGGACAAAAACGTCTTTTTTTAAGTCAAGGTAATCAGATAGCTTGATGTATTGAACTGAATTGCCCATATATATGTGTGTGTGTATGTGTGTTTATACATATATATATCTATATGTATTTTGTGTTTCTTCATTCCTGCACTACACTGCCCTGTAAGACCGAGCGCTCACGACCTCTGCATTRCATTGTACCTCCCATATACCAGGAAAACCCAAATCCTTCTTAAAAAAAACCTAAAGCAAACGCTCCCCCTTGGTCCCCCTCGCTTCCCAACACCTGTTGAAATAGTTACTGCAGTGCTTGGCACCAGGCCCAAACAAGCCTTTTTCTTCCTTTTTTTTTTTCCATTAACAACAAAAACACACGTAGGGGCCAGACAGGCAGCRCAGCTAGTTCTGCTGTGGTGCTTTTAGCTCTCTGCAACTGTGATTTAGGGGGGGGTGACTCATTAAGCGATAGCGGAGCCGAGCGGTTCTCCAAATTCAGGTGTTGCTGAGGGAGCTGCATCCTAATTGCATGTCGAAAGACTGCAAAAAAAAGGGCAGGGGGATCTCCTTTCTTGCTCTTTAGATGGGCTCTTTTTGAACCTCTTGGTATTGCACACTGTGAATATTTCACACTTCTTTGGGCTGAGGGAATTTGTATGTCCTTTTATTAATAAAAGGAAAACCATCAGGCCCTTTGTACTTGATATTTTGCATGCGGTTGTTGAGGCTCTTTGAGGCTGCCTGTTCACGGAGAAGTTTCATCCCAAAGAGCTGCCTGGCAACTTCTGGATTTGTTCTCAGATAAAGGAGTAGATTTGGGAAACTCTGTGTTTGGAAAACTTACGGCTTCTAGAAGTCCTGTCATTCAAGGATATTTGAGTTGTTTTCCTAGTGATAATTTCTAAGTCCCAAGAATACACTCATTTCTTTCTGTGGGGTGGTCTCACCTATTTATATGGATTTTTCTTCCTTGTTCTATTTAGGAATATCCTAAAAWATACATTAAAAGGGTGAGGCAGAATAAAAGAAATTGATCTCTTTTGCTGGCTCAGTCTTGGTGTTATCAGGGGGTGCTGTGATGAGTATCTCCACTCTCAGCTCTACTCAGCATCCTGCTCGCTCTGTTACTGGTGTGTCGAAGGACTCTGCCTAGGTAACGTTTTTCAAGGTTAAAAGTGGCACCGGTTTCCTCTGCTTTGCTCTTAAGCATCTTCACTTAACCTCAGTTTTTGTGGTGAATGGGTAGAGCCGCCCATTTCCATCCTGCTGATTCCCTTTGCTTTAAGAGCTCATAAGGAAAGCAAACCGCGTAAACAGCCAGCTTTGTGGATGCCACATTTTCTATAATTTTTTTTCCAAACTTTATTCTTCAAAATTCTGGCATTCCGCAGCGAAGGCTTTAAGATCTATTTGAATGAAACTACAACAGATTTGTTGATGTACACATTGCCGTACCTTAGCAACCAACCTGCATCTAGTCCAAGATCTGAACATTTAGTCTTCTAAACAATTCTTTGCTACCAATCTAGGAATGTTCTTGCATTGCAGAGTGCAAAAACAGCCAGTTGACATCTAGTGAGGAACAACATACATTATAAAATACCTACTCCTCCAGAGTGGGTGGAGAGGGGACTTATATAACTGCATTTCTTTGCTGGTGTAATTGTAGTGCCTTGAAGCCTTGGAAGATGCATCTCCAGAGCAAGGCTGTTGTATACGAGTGATTTTTAGGCTCTGCTTTTTCAGTGTGAAACAGCTTTTTCAGTGTGAAACAGGGCTTTGGTAGCAATGGGGGATTAAACATGGGTGTGCTGAGAAGGGACATTACAGAATCTAACCAGAAATCATATTAAATAGCAGCTTTTGTCTTATTTAGTAGTATCACTCACTTTAAATGGAGAAGATTGATATCTGCTCACTGAAGCTGCACTTGTGCCGTGTAGAGAAGGCATCCATTCCTGGTGCTGCCTGACACGGTGTAGAATTTAGTTTCTTAAAAGTGTTGCAAGGGAGGGAAATGTTGGTCTTAAATTTCCCCCTTCTTTTCTTTTAGTTACAGCTGCAGAAAACCCAATATTTGCAACTGGGACAGAGTCGTGGCCAGTACTATGGAGGGTCGCTGCCAAATGTGAATCAGATTGGAAACAGTGCCATGGATCTGCCCTTCCAGGTGAGTTTGATTATATACATTTTTGTTCTTTTTATTAATTAATGCAGTGTCAGTGTGTTATTTTTTCCCTCGCAGGGGATGATGAAATAGCTGCTGGTGCAGCACACAGGACCCCAGCCACAGCAGGACACCCTAAATGCTCTAAAAATGGTTGTTCTGTGGGTCTGGGGCACTGCTCTGCACAGCACACGTGTGTTCTCCTGCTGTGTCAAGGGCTTGTTGGGCTGTTGTCCGTCACGGTGCTCTTGGGTCAAGCAGTGAAATCCCTTTCCTGCCTCAAGTTTATAATGGACTCTCTGCAGAGACCCTGTACATCCGAAGCAAAAGTGGAATTAAATAACATGAGGTGGTGGAGAAACCRCTGGTAGGTGGGAGTCTTGAAGAGGATAACCCAAGCCTCCATGCATGGGTTTAGAAGAGAAAGGGGAATGGAGCACAAATTAGTTTAAAAATACTTTATTTGGTCTGTCTGAAAGAAAAAACGTGTGGTTATTTTGTTTTCCCTCTGTGAACAGCAAATGGGTGTTTCACGTGCCTGTTCTGCTCTTGGTTTGGACAGGCGATGCTGAGTGGAGGACAGGGTTAGGTGGCTGATGCTTTTGGCACTGCTAATTTCCATAGTTAGGTCATTAAGGCTGTTCAAAGCAGTTAAAACTTCTGTATCGCTTTTTCTAGTTTTACACTAATAACAWTTAGAATTTGTCTCGCAACAGTGTGGTAAGAATGAAATTCGGTAGTTTGCAGTTCTTCCAGTGAAGAGTGGCTTAATAAGAGGCCATCATTAACAGTTTTRCTGTATTTAACTATGCATTTTGTAATACACACAAATGAATTTGCAAAAATTTGCAGGCAAAAATTCTTAAGAGCTTAAATTTTGGGCAGGAGGACAAGCAAGAGCTACTTTAATTTGATTGATTTTAGAGAGTGCARTGCAGAGTTTTATTATGTTATGTAGTCTTTAACTTCAGTCCATGGGCATCAGRTCTTTCCAGGAGCCAGAGATTTTTGTCATTAGTTTCCTGTTGAAGARGTTAATGATTACTGTTCTTTATAGGCAGTAGTGTTGGAGTACTTCTGTGCTCCATGGCTGTCACAGACAGTTAATAGATAGAATCTTTTTAGTTCTGAAACTAATCTGGTGCTTAAAAGTGAGTACTTAAAAGTTTATGGGTGAATAGAGGAGAATCTGAAAGAAAAAAACTGATCCTCAAACTCCAACTTTTTATACGTTCTTCTAAAAAACAAATAAAGGATACTATTACAGCTAATAAATGGTGACAAGCAACAAAATAAAAATATGTATTYGTTTATATCAGATGTGAATAATTTCCACTTTTCTCAGCTATAAGCTAAAGTACGATGCCCTTCGCAAAAGCTGTTTGCTCAACTTGCTGACGAGGCGATGCCCGTGCGGGGCCTCTAGTTAGAGGGTTAGTGACCTGAGAATCTTGGTTCTTTGCATTTACAGCACAACGGAGCTTTGGCAGAAGCCTTTGGAGCAGTTCCTGTCTCTTTGGTAAACAAACATTTAGGTTTGTGCAAATACGTATTTAGGACTGGCGTTCTCTTTGCCCAGGTAGATACGTATTTTAGCACGTGGCACTTTTTTTGGTATGCACAGTATTTATCTGATTCACCGTTACAGCTCCCCAGGAGTTATGGTCTGTCACATAAATACAGGTTTTGCCATGCATCCCAGTTTGGAACATGCCTAATAATTCCTGTACCGACTCCCTGGACTTGCTGTGGTCTGCCGTGCGATTACCTGGGGTTTATGGGGAGCTAATTTGATGCAGGTGGTGGTTTATTTGGCACTGTCTTGGCCTGTGATTTAAGCCATCTCCGAGCATGTGCACTTAGCCTGCATGCTGAACCCCCCGGGGAAAGGAAGGATGAGGACCGAGGGGCGCTGCAGTGGAAGCTACTGGCAGGTACCACTCCTTCCCTTTCCCCCCCATCCACCCTGCTTGCTTTTATTCATAAATCAGCCTTCATAAATCCTAAAGAGACACTGCTGCTTTCAAGCAGCGAGCTTTTTCCTTCCTGTCTGTAAGCATTTAGCAATTTTTCAGCGTCTTGCGGAGCTTTTGGTTCGGTTGTGGTCTCAGGGCGCTGAGTTGTTTCAGGGGAGTGAAGCGGTTGTTCTTCCCTGCCCAAATCCAACTGACACCCGCATCTGTTCCCTTTTATTGCAGTTTTGCAGTGTAGTTTCAGCATCACGGGCCCTCCCGGGATGGGGATTTAATGTAGGTGRCTGCCTGGGGTTTGGGGCCGATTAAATTTCATGTCACGGCTGCTGAGAGAAGCCAGAAGGACTTTGGGAGGCGATGCCCGTTTTCTCAGGCGTTCTGCCTTCTTTTGTGACTTCCCAAAGCAAGTTARGGATTCTCTTGGAATCTTGGTTCCTGCAAAGGCAGAGAACCCCAAAAGAAAGGCAGGAACCCCAAAGGCAAGAGAAAGGCAAAAGAAACCCCCCAAAGAAATGCAGGAATCCCAAAGTTCCAAGTTTATTTGATTCTAAAGTGTAACCCTCCATTTGTGACCATCTGGGGCATGGTCCGTGTTTACATTTTCCACTCCTAGATCCAAATCAGATTTTTGCTCTGAATTTATTTTTTTTTAATGGAAGGTATGCCATGAAACTGCTTGGAAGCTTCAGGAAAAAAAACAGTTTGGGCATTTACATTTATGCCTGTATACTCRTTTGCATCAGCTTGCTTTTAAATTGCAGGTGAGATCTGTGTTTGTGTGTTCTTCAGACCAGCTTTGCCTTTCTTAGTAACGCTGTGGTTGAGACCACGGACACAGGAAACCGCTTTCCCTGTTGATGTTCCAAGCACACATGCATTAATTTGGAAATCTTGCTGTCATTTGGGGTAGAATTGGCCTCATAAGAGGACAAAGAAGAATTTGAGCTGGTTTTTTTTTAGTATTTTGGGAATTAGGAGTATTTTTCATTTCTGTATGAGACTAGTTAGGTAGAACTAGATGGTTGCTTTTTTGCAGCGGAGCTTAATCCAGCCAAGAAGTCTTAATTTAAAGCACTTGAATTTAAGATGCTATGAGTTGAGGTTTCTGTATCTTCATACAAGAATCATGCTTATTCAGGGGATGAAGCAGAATATCAGCATTTTAGCAGGGAATTTAGAGCCAGAAGTTACTGTRTTCCTGGATATGCAGCGTCCTGCTCCGCAAGCAAGAAAATAAACGGCCCCTTTGCACTATTTGTGTAGGTCATGCATGCAGAGAGGGAGATGCTAAACAGAATGGCATTAAAAATATTAGAAAGATACTTTAAAAAAGTTATTACAAGAAGAACATTTCAGTGTAAAAGGCTTTTAAGCGATGGTCACTTCAACAGCCTAACTGGACATTTTTGAAAAGATTGATATGGAAGCCAGATGGTTTCATGGCTTGGCAGACCGGACGGTGCGTTTGCCACATGCATCACCTGAATGGAAGAGCAAATTTTGGGTCTCCAAGCAGATGGTGTTTAGGGACTCAGCAAAGCTGTTCACGTTGGCAAGGAATGGGAGAGGATTTAGCTTTTTTTCCCCTAGATGCCCATGTATTGTTTCTGAAGTGTGTGGAGAGGCTGGTCATTCTTTTTCCGGCTACGCACCGGGTTGGGCCTTTGCAAGTATAGAAGTTTTCCAGCTGAGAGTGGAAATTTACCTTCCTTATCGTTGCTGTGTTGTCCTCAGATTCTCTGAGGTCAGTTGCTGACAAGTAAACACTGTCAGGATAAGATTTGGAGAGTGGAAATGACCCATCTAGGCTCACTGTGCAAACATCAATTGCAAAAGTATTGAATGCTGTAACTTTTTCTAGACAGAGGAAGGAAACGGCTTTCTTTTTTTTTCTTTTTTTTTTCCTTTTTGTTTTGTTTTGTTCCCTGTGTCCCCTGCCGTGTCCTGGAGAGAGCAGAGTGTTCCCCAAAAGCCCTAGTGGGACGTTAGGGTCCCCGTGCATCGTCCTCCTGCATCTGGTGCCCCGGCAGCCGCAGCTGTGGCCGCGGGCACGTGCCTCCGGGTGCATGATGCTGCATGCGGCRCCGAGGGGACGCGGACAGCAGCTGTCAGCAGGCTCCTTGTCACCAGCAGCTCCGGGGGCTCGCAGATACGAAGTGGGGACAGCAGTGCTGCTTTGCAAGAGGGCAGACCCAGCGTAGCCTGCTCCCACACTCCCTAATCTCTGGCTGGAAGAGATAGCCTTGGTAATTCCTTTCCATGGCTATAGTGAAAACGTTACTGACGGAAAAATATAAGTGATGCAGTTTGTCCATGGCTTTTTTTTTTTTTTTGAATTATAGTTCTTAAAATAACACAACTGTGCATACAGTACTGATAACTGGTGGGCAGAGAGCTCACGCGTGTGTTTTGCTGCTTAGAACTTAACGCGYCTCTCTCAGACTCCTTTTCAGTCGTCTGGGTTGGACACGAGCAGAACGACTCGGCACCACGGTCTGGTGGACAGAGTATATCGCGACAGAAACCGCCTGGGATCTCCCCATCGCCGCCCCCTCTCCGTGGATAAACATGGAAGACAAATATCCTTTGGTTTAGGAGGTGGCACCAAATACCTTCCTCTTCAGCTGCATCTCCATTCCTGCAGTTTGCTCCTTCATCCCATCCTCACCCATCAGAGAGGCTTCTCATTTCTATACAGTTAGTGTCCCCTGCTTTTCTGAACTGTGATCCATTTATAAATACTTGCTCTTCTGTAAACTAAGCATTTACTTTTYTCAGTGTTGGTTTCTTCAGCTCTAAGTGGGGATAATGATAGACATGAAGCCGAGAGGGATAGAAATCCTTTACTGAAATATGTAAGACAGTATTCGTGAAAACTTAAAAACTGAGTAAATCCAAAGCAAAATTCCSTGCAATTCAGTGTGTGTTTTTATTGCACTTGATTCATTAGTTAGCATCTACCGGGCACTATTTTTCGTGTCGTTTGTGAAAATGAATTTKCTCCTTGCTGCCGACTGGCTTAAATTGGGCTGCACTAAGCCTGGGTTCCTGGCGGGGCTAAAAGGATTGTGCAAGTGGGAGAGTGGAGAGAGCAGCTGCTCAGGAGCCGAGAGAGGTGCTGAGAAGCAGGAAGGAGGTGGCCACCCCGGTGCTCCGACGTGCTCCCCAGCCCTGTGCCCGTGTTATAGGGCTCGTTAAGGATTGCTTTCCTTCGGAACATCATCAACAAGGACCAGCACAATCTGGGAAGTGGCCAAGAACCAAGACTGACAAGTTGAGGAGTCACTCAGGTGGCTTGTTTTGGKGTAGGAGGCCAGCGTTTTCTCTGTATTGTCAGGTTTGATGTTTTAAATTCTACATCATTTCTGTTCTTTCATTCTACATCAGCTATAAAGCAGGTATATCTTATTTTGAATGTCCTGGTAAAGTCAGTGTGCTSTCTATGGAGAACTTGCTTTGCCTTTCTCTTTTAAGCTCAGTCACTCTGACAGGTTGATTTGAATTATTTCCTAGGGAAAGACTTCAAATAGGCCGGTTATTTAAGCGAGAAAATGCTGTTCTTCCCCTTAACTAACTGAATCACGTGGATAGTTGTCCRTATGGGACTGTGTATCTGTCACCTCCATCCGATACGAGCTGGAGAAGGTTAGTAGCATCATTACATGTGCATTAGTATTTAGTCTGCATTCTCTGATGCTATGCTAACATCTTCACATGTAAAAATGGATTTTAATATTTCCCGTAGCAACTGGTCATCTGAGCTGCCAAGATTTAGTGAATTTAGACCTTGATTTTTTATTTTCTTTTATTCTTTTATTATGCTTAGATTGGCTTTTAAACTTCAGCTGTGTCAGCTAGTGTGATCTCTGGAAGGTAAATCTTGCCAGCCTAAAGGTGTAACATCCGCCCAAGCTGTTGGACTAGAAAGGACTTGGATATTTCTCCCTGTACAGAAGCTGCCACCGAGTAGCCAAAGTGGTGGCCAAGATCGAGGGCTGAAGGACAATTCGCCATGTGAGAGTTGTTGGCTATGGAGACCCTGTGGTTCCTGGCTCCACAACATATGTGCATCCCGGAAACGGTCGCTTTCCCTCCCTTTAAAGCAARGATGCTTTCTCCTAGGCTCTTAAAGCTGATTATGGTTCTGCTATTGCAACAATTATTCTTCAAACATGAGAGAACTTGTTCTCAGAGTTGATTGTTTCATAAAGAAGTTGTACTTCATAAAGAAATAATGGCACRGACCAAAGACAGATTTTGGTTTTGTTTAATGCAGAGTGTATGCAGTTTTTCCTGAGTTAATTACCTTTGCCTGAGACTAAACATTCGTTAATGTAGAGAAGCTGACAATAAAAATATGGTTTTGCGTTTCCCTCAGGACAAATTCCGATTCTGCCCTGCACCAGAGTACTATGACTCCAACTCAACAAGAGTCCTTTTCGGGAGGATCACAAGACATGCAGCAGAAAAGAGGTAAATGGACAAAAAGCGGTGAAAATATTTGTCACATTCAAAGAATTCTATTTAGATGATATGTCCGTGTATTGATGGATGTCTTTATATGGACATGTATGCGTAAAATTTTCTAACTGAAGTTACATGGGATTTGAGGTTTCCAGAGTGCAGGAAGTTCTGCACTGTCAGTTCAGGTGGGGCTTTGAGCAGCTCTCAGCAGGTAACAGCTGGATACTGTGCGACAGTGAGATTTTTCCTTCCCTGCATATGGCTCATATAGTTGTAGGTATTAATTAATACTCCAAGCCCTCAATAATATCAGTAACTCTGATGGGGAAAATTGTTGTAATAGGTGTTTCTTTCAGATATTGGTATTAATTTGTCAGTTTTATTTTAGTGACTTAGGACAAGTTTTGCATTGGCAACTCCATTAAATATCAGAAATTAAATTCTGAAAATCCATTTTACATTGAGCTGTTCAGGACTGCTGAATTTTATTTCTAGTAACCTAGCCTGCCAGATACCTGACTTTCCATCTCAGGCCAAAGTAAATCTGCCCTAAAATTTCCCTTGAGATTCTTCATATTTACCTGTGATTCGACCTGTAAATTACCTTCCTGAGCTAGCCTCTTGCGTAAATACTGTGTCAAACAACAGAAGTCACTGGGCATAATTAAGATACAATACCATATGGCAGCAGGATTCATCTGTTTTTTTGGGGGATTCAGGTCAAGCTTTTGGAAACGGAGCCCTAAGGAACTAACAATTTTGGTGCCCTCTGCTGGTCCTTGTTTCTGATGTCAGCTTGAAAAATATTTTAAAAGCTCCTAAGTCTGTCTTGAGAAATTTAATCCTCAAACATCTACCTGGTGATAGAGGAACACTCAACAGTCCCATACGTGCACATTGTGTTGCAGCTGTTGTGTTAGGTATTCCATATAACACTTCTGGAACAGTATAGCGTTGAATAGAGACCATCTTAAATAGGATTGTGTAAATATGGATTTGATAAGGGAATTACTTAAGGTATTTGTGATGCTTCTTCACCTGTACAGAAAATTTCTTTTCRAAAAGCTTAGTGTTATGACATGATTTCTTTCGTGCTCCCTTTTTTAGTTTTGTTACTGACTGTCCCTGGAATGGAGGAAACCACCTCAGAGGCAGACAAAACCCTCTCCAAGCAAGGATGGGACACTAAAAAGGTAGAAATTTCATGTTTCAAAGCATAGAGCATTTATTTGTCTACACACAAGCATTTATTTGTCTACACACATTTGGGTAAACAAATGTTCTAAATATTGCTAACCAAAACAAACTACTTGCCAGGATTAGAGATTAAGTGCTATATTTAGCTGCAAATCACTTGCACACAAACTGCCTTTCTGATCTAATGTGTGGCATGCCTCAAGCGGCAGTGATGATACATCTCTTCTGAAGAGCTCCATAGAATCCTTCCKTACAAATGTATTAAATTTACTGATTAAAATTTATCCTAAACATTAATTTCTGACAATACCGTTACCTTTAAAGTATATTTTCTCTATTTTAGACAGGATCTTCAAGACCTAAATCATGTGAAGTTCCAGGAATCAAGTAAGCTTTCAGCTTTTTCCCCCTTTTCTGAGCATTGTGATCTTTAAAAAGTGTATTGTAGCTTGGAAGTCCTCTTACTTTGGAGTTTTCTCCCCTGTTTAGCATCTTTCCATCAGCCGACCAAGAAAACACTACCACGCTGATTCCTGCTACACATAACACGGGTGGCTCCCTGCCAGACCTGACCAACATCCATTTCCCTTCTCCTCTCCCAACACCATTGGATCCTGAGGAATCCACATTCCCAGCCCTCAGTAGCTCCAATAGTACTGGAAATCTTGCTGCCAACCTGACTCACTTGGGCATCAGCACTGCCAATCAGGGTAAGGCTGTAAAAGAGAGATTTGTGCATAATATGGCACTTGTCTGACATAACCCGAGTTGCGTTTTGTCTTGCTGTTTCACATCCCAGGTGACTAAGTCACTGCTGATTGACCAGGGCGATCACCAAGTATTGTCTTTTGGGCAGTCAAAATGATATTAAAGCCTTTGCAAGGCACAGAAAGCATAAATGCCCTTGACTGTTTTGCAGGAACTATGTGCATTGTACAGACATGCCCTCAGCAGCCCCGAGAAAAGGTGGGGGAAAACACCTGTTAGGTTTTAAAGAAATGCCAAAAACGTAGAGTACGTTTGTGCATTTGAGTGTGTTGGTTCATGACACGTTCCATGAGACAGTGTTGATTTTGAAAACATGCTACGGGAAAGCAGGCAGCCTTCATAATCTGCTCAATTTTAGCCAGTTTGCCTGCTGGCTCCTTGGCAGCCTGGACTTCCTGGCTCCCTGGCAGCCTGCCTGGAAGCCTTGAACAGTTGCCAGGTGCCTAGGAGCTCCCAGGCTCTTGTGAATTCCTCCTTTCTGGCAGCTCTAGAACAGCTCACTAGCTGGATTGTCCTGAAACCACTTTCCAGGGTGTCTCAGTTCTCCAGGGCGAAGGAGAAAATAGGAAACATTTTATGGCAGATTTCAAAACCTCAGTGCTTTTTTATTTAAACAAAATGACGATGCTCTAATTGTCAACCCCAAGAAACTTTGCTGGGARGGACTATCTTCTGTTGATGATCTCCTGTTGGATGCATCATCTCCATCCTGTCAGAAACTACCCTTGCACTGAATAGGGTCCCAGACTGTCCCGTTCTTTGGCATTTTTTACTTATTTCCTGGGTGATGCTTATTTTGCTGTTTCACTTAAGAATTGAAGCTTTGTAGCTCCTAAAGGCACCACAACGTTTAACTGCCAGATAGCTTAAGGAGATGTTTTTTCAGGTGTTGTTGGCCTTGTGTCTGTAGTTTTATCTCTTCTGGGCCATATGATAATGGAAAYGAGTGGAGACATGTTTTAGAATGGCTCCAAGAATTGCTCTTTAGTTGAGCTGTTGTAAATGCAGATTCTTATACGAGCTTTGCTGCCTCAATTCCCTTGCTAATCTTAAACATAGTTTGTGCTAGGTCACAGCTCTTTAGAGTGTGAAGAATATTTCCTGCCTTGCTGTGCATTAGTATGCTTTCAAAACTAGAGTATTTCCTGTGTAACCAGTTTTCTTTGCATAAATAGATTTTTTTTAATGTCACAAGTGCCCCTTGCTTAGTCTTGTCGCATGCTCTGTTTTCTTATTCCTGAAGCTTGAACTCTTAGAAAGAAAACAGAAGTGGTTCCTTGACAATGTGCAACCCAAAGGGTGTATAAGCCTTGTTAGCATAGGCACATTCAGCACTAAATGCTCAGCATTAAGTATTTCTAGGCTCCAGTCATTCATCGTTTATGTCATTACCTCCATACAGGTCTCAATAATCCATTGCTCTGCTCCCATCTAAGCTGTTTTTCCCCTTCCCAACAGGAATGACAACAACGCCAGCCCCGTCCCAGCAGCACCGTCAGCCGACCGTCAGCCCCCTGTCCTTGAGTGCAGACTCCCGGCGACCACAGTCACAGCAAATGTCTCCTACGCTTTCCCCCTTGTCACCAATTACTCAGGTAGGAACTGGCTTGGAGAAGGAAAATTTTAGACCACAGTTGATTTTGTTTCACTCTACCTAGGGAGAGGCTAGCTGTAACTTCATCTTTCTTGCTGTATAACTTCATTCCTTAAAGGTCTTCATTAATTCTGTGTCTTTATTTCTTTTTGTGCTTTAAAAAAAGGTTGTGTCCTTTAAAAATGGGTTGTAGAGGTTGTGGATTTTGCTTTTACTGTGGCAGATCCTTGGCAAACGCCACGAAGACACTCTTAGGGACACAGCCTCAAAGTCGGTCATGAAATTTGGAAGGCGTTTCTCTAGCTCGAGAGAACTCGAGTTCTCTCAGGTTCTGAGTGCAAAATGTAGAAGTTTTCCCGTATTTGATTTCATGACTGACTGGGTTGTCAGTTCCTGACGTTCAGCTGGGCTTTTGGACACAGTGGGTGTTTTTAGTACATTGAAAACGATACGAACTCCCTTGAAATGTGTTCTTGGCCGTTTTAAACGTGATTTGTAAATGCATTTTGTTTATTTACTTGAAAAAAATGTTTGCTATAAATACAAACGTGGTAACTTCTGGAATTGCTTAGTCCTATTTAACTGATTTCAGATAAATTAAGAGGAATTATCTGCCAGCCTCCCTTGTCTTGTTTCCTCTCTTSAAGGCCGTGGCTATGGATGCATTGTCTCTGGAACAGCAGCTTCCCCCATACCCGTTTTTCACCCAGACAACTTCACAGCAACAGCAGCAGCCCCAGGTGGCCAGTACCCTGCCTCAGAACACCCCCTTAATGCAGACCTCGGGTCTCCAGCGAGGGACCCAGCTCCCCCCTCTCTCTGTCACGGTACCTTCCACCATCCCGCAGTCGCCTCCGGGGAGCCAGAGCCAGCCCTCCATGGGAATAGACATCAACTCGGTAAGTTTGGGCACCCCTGAGATGGGTCAGCAAATGTGCCGTGGAGCATCAGCCCTCCTCATAATTCCAGAAGAGTCTCCAGTATGCATAGAATGGTTGCATTGAACCAATCTTTGTGTTTTAAGGACAAAAACTGATTTTATTATGTTCTTAGGGTGGCCATAGYTTCCAGCTGTGCCCCTTATAACCCCATACATCTGATTAGACTGAGATAGAAGCATTTTTCTTTTTCTTTTTTCATACCTTGCTGCTGCACAGATGCATTTTCAAGGCATTAAATGTAACGCACTTTCAACATGCTGCGTGTTACAGACTCAGGATAAGGAGTTAACAGGACTTAGGTAAATCTAACAATCTAACGTATTCAAAAAGCTGGAGGAAATCAGACACAGGATAGCGTTTCTATATTTAGAACACTTCCGTTTTAAGGAATTTGTAGCATACGTTATTATCCTCAAAAATTAGATTTGTGGTGCCTGCTTGCAGATCCCCCTAAGGAATGGAGTGTAATACATATTGTGATGATTTACGGACAGATTTTTTTTTTGCTTGCTTGTTTTACTGTGGTCTGTTGTGAATTGTTCTGCCTTTTTCCACATCTGAAAATCCCAAATGCAGACCAGGAGAGGATAACAGGGTAGCCAGGGAGGAAGTTCATGGCTCATTCTCTGGGCATTCTGCTCGGCATTAAAGGCTTTTACATGTCTGACCGGTTGTGTTGACCTGGCAGTGTTGCAGTGACACTAAGTGGTTTGGTCATSAGAAGAGTTCATTCTCTATTGATCTGATATTGAATCACAAATTTCATTTGGGGGTTGAGATTTTAAGTTTATGCTTCTTGAAAGAATCTGCTCTTCTCTCCATAGAAGGGAAAGAGGAAGGACAAATCTGGCAGTGGRAAGGATGTTTGACCCATTCAAACGTGTCTGAATATTTTGATTCTTATAGTTACCAAGAGTTACCAATACAGATTAATCTGATTTTCATTCTTTGCTTTCTATGTTGCTTTCCTCATTCTCAGCTTCTTTATGACCTTAGCTTTTCAGGGCCCTCCGTTTACCTTTTAAAGCAACTGAAATTGGACATGGGTAAACTTAAATCAGATTTTTCAGAAAGCCACTTGAGCTGTGGGACAGTCTCACAACTCTTACACAGCTGTTTTTCCTTAAAGCAATATTGAAGTACACTTTCCCCTACTTTGGATGTCTGTTTGGAGGGCAGAAATGCATATAAGAAATATTTTCTTGATATCCGTAGAATTCTGTGTCAAAAAGCCCTGGATTACAGGTTTTCCTCAATCATCTGTTGGTTTCTAAGGGCAATATAGCAGACAAAGAGCTCTACTTACTATTTATGTTAATTAGGATGACATTCTATTCAGATGCCAGTAAGATTATTCATTTGTTCAGATCCGGGGGTCTTTGCCAAAAAAACAAAGGAAAATCTTTGAAAATCTAGTCTSAGGAAGACTGAGAACAGTGTTAATGTAGCTAAAATAAACCTACAGGACAGTGTGGATTCTCAGACCACGTCTGTTTCATGTACTGGCCTAAAGTGCCAGATAATTCCCCKTAGCCTGGGTGTGAAATATAACAAGGATTTCCTAAGCAAGCCCTACAGAAATGGAGAATGTGGCCATGGCAGTTGAATTTCAAGTGAATTCCTTTTGGGTTATTCCCAGATTTGGAGACTACTTTTCCATTAAATTGTTGGCTGACCAGATTTTTTTTTTCCCCCTAACTAAACACAGCTGAAAACAGAGGAAAAAGAGATTTGGAGAGTTTTCCTTGTATGGCAGCCCTGCCCTGCTCTTAGGTGGGCAGTCAGACACRAGCCCCAGTGAGACCTTAACCCTTTCCTTTTAGCGACCTCATTCCCAGCACTAGGGCCTTCATAGCTACCCGGGATCGCTGAAGATGATGGTTCCTCAAGCTGTCCACCAGGAACGTGTAATTCTCCAGCTTTCCCTCACTGCCGTGCTCTTTAATTCTGTGTTGTTCTGTAGGCTTCACTCCAGCAGTACCGCAGTAATGCTGGATCCCCAGCCAACCAGTCTCCCACCTCTCCTGTCTCCAATCAAGGCTTCTCTCCTGGCAGCTCCCCTCAAGTAAGGGACTCTGTGCTTCCCCAGGCCTCGCTTCTCGTGTTCGCTTCCAGTCTCTCCATCACTGACCCATAGTCCTCWCGCTGTCACTGTGTGTGCCTCATGCATCACTGATGTCTCATCTCGTTGGCAGTTCCATTCAGAGCCAGAGGTTTTCAATAGCTGGTGAATTGCCTTTTTGGTGATCAAGGCTATTACGTGAACGCTATTAAAGTCCAGTTATTTTGGAGGGGAGCAGGGTGGACAAAAGCTCCAGGTGGATCCCTCTCCGTAACAGCATCGCTTAGGGTTGGACACATGAGGTTGGGAGGATAGGGACAGGAAGGAAACTTGCTGAGTGCCCCCAGCAGCAGAATAGCTTCTTGCTGCACTAAGTGCCACTTATGACCCAGTGCCTTTGAACCAAGGCCTTTTTTCASCTGGGAAAGAAAATGCAGCAAATATTCTTAAAATTAGCAACTGTGTCTCATGGCTTGAAAATAATGGGTTAGCAAACATGCCTTCTTGCATACTAGATGTTTTTTCATCCTKTGTATATATAAATTGCTCATTTTGCATCCTATATATACAAGTCAAATTGGATATATATGTAAAGCTGTGAAGGGAAACTTTTTATGTGCTATTTGCAAGATAGTTAAGAAACAGCAAGGCAGTTTTGGAGGTACCCCTTAAGTAAAGGAGCTTAATGCAGTTTTGGTACAAAAATCTAGCRTTGCAAGAAGGCAGCCAAAAGGCTTTTCCCAAATCCCACCTATAGTGACAAGGTGTAGGAAATTCTTACGGAGCATCACAACAGAGTCTGAAAATACATATTCTGTTTCATCATTTAATGTTGAAGGCTGTAAGAAGGATCCTATGTAAATAAGTGCTGCCCCTTCCTGGCTGCAAAGCAGAAGCTTCGTCTCTCCTTGCCATTAGCCAGAGACAGGTCGCTGGTAAGCTCAGTAACAGCCTGAGTGTCAGGATTGTCCGGATTTTTTTTAACCYGTGCTCAGTGGCTTCTTAACTTCTTTCCTCTGCTGCTTCTGCCACTTGTGCTGTGTCCTGTGTGTGGCCCAGGGACAACGAGCAATTTTACTTCTCTCGGCTGTCGTGTAGAGCAAAGCAGCTGCTGGCCCTGCTGCAGTTCTCAGGGTCCAGGTGGCACCTGGGCAGCCCATTTGATTTGATTCTGATTTTCTTCCCCCCTTGACTTCTCAATAACCCTTTCTCGACTTTATTTTTGCCCACAGGCTTGATGCCACCGCTCAGTGCAAAGTCCCAGAGCGCAGCAGGCTCTCTGCAGCGGAGCACAGAGCTTAGTGTGCAGCACTGCTGGCATGTGTGCTATCCTCTGAAAAGAAGCTTTACGCAAAAGCTGTAGGAAAGCACCAAAAATAGCTTTTTTTTTTGTTAATAAATTAAAGAAATTTTTGTTAATAAATTAAAAGAAAATAGCTTTTTTGTTCATAAATTAAAAGTAGCACAGTTTTCCTGCCTCTGTCAGGGAGCCCAAAGGTAGTAGTGTTGAGAGCTCTCTGTCGTAGTGGATCTTTTAAGATTGTAAATACTAAGCGTGGAGAGAAGCCATGGGCGAATTAAACCAGATTGGAAGTAAAATCTGGGTTATGATTATGGGGGCAGCGTGCAAACAGCAAGATCCCTTAGCCACCAGCATGATGTGCCAGCAGCAAAGGCAGGTTGGTTACAACCTCAGAGTACACCCGGTGGGGAACAGTCTGGCACCGGCTGAGAAGAGCAAAATAAAGTAGGGGTGACCGGGGAGGTGTCTTGCATTTGCTCCTGTTTCTCCCCTTCATTTTAGGTTAAATCACTCCCCTTCATTTTAGGTTAAATCACTTTGCAGTATCTCGATACGAGCGGCGCATTCTCAAACCCGAGATCTGTGGTTTGATTTTTTTATCACGTATCTCATTCACTAGAAGTTCCTTCTCATCTTTCCCCATCTCCAAACCTCCTTGCTCTTGTGTTTTAGATGGTCGTTGCCGCTCTACGAAGGCCTTCCTGTGAAAACCCGGCTTGAAAAGCTCTGCTTGTAGCCCCCAGCTTTGTGTTTGCATGGCTTTTCATTGCCGGCGGCTTGTTTATGACTACTTGGCTTTTCTCCTCTAACACCTGGCCTACTGTTCCAATTAGAGAGAAAATTGCTTTTTTAGTAGGATGGCTGAATACTGGATAATATGGTATGTATTTGCAGACCAGCAATTTAAGGCAGGGATTTTGTGGTTTGGGTTTTTCCTTTTTCCTTCCAGTCACCACATCATTAACCCGAGAAGATGTACTGTTGACAAAACAGACCTCATCTAGTGTTTTGTAGGCGCTGGTGTGAGCAAGGTGTTTTTCCCCGGAGTTGTTGATAAATTATTCCAGGACTCCGAAGTGTTGAAGTAATGTTGTTTCCAGCTGATTTCCTTGGGGAGCTGCAGTACTTACAACGGTAATAACCGAGACACTTTAGAGCAGAGGGAAAAATAGAGGCCTCTGCGTTTTGTTAAGGGTTATTAATACAGACTTGCACAAATGGATTTTGGCCTACTGTTCATTATTTTCCGTGTTACCCAACTTCTTAGAATGGGAACAACGTGTAGCGGAATACAGGAGTTTTCATGTGTACCCTACTTTGGGAAAGCTCCTGTAAAAATGAAATGGCTCAAATTAAAGGAAAAAAAATGCCACTTTGGTCCTGTTTGGAGCCCTGGTGGCRGTGCTGCTGCTGTGACCTGGCTTGGCTTCGCAGCGTGACGTCCCAAAGGACACATTTATCGTTGGAAAAGCTCTAAAAGCTCCCATGGTTTGGAGACCTTGCCTGCCGTATAGATGAGGATACGTTTGCCACGATAGAATTAGGCTACCCAGAGCTTTCCTGAGCCAGCTCTGTGGTCAACCTCCTTTTTTTTATTTTTTAAGTGGCATAAGTAACATCTTGAAGTAGCGCTGACGTGTAAATCAACATGTAATCATGCAGGAAGAGGCGAGTGGTTTAAAGAAGAAAAAAAGGTGTTTTATTATATGAAATATAAATTGGCAGTAGTGCTTTGCTTTTCTCTCATCAGGTACCGTGTTGGACTTCATGCTCGTAGGCCTATCTCGGGACAGGGCAGTCACAGTAACTGAGAGGAGTGGAGGATATATTGGAAAATAAGTTCCATTTTAGGAGAATCTTCCACTTTACTTGTTTCTCACCAGGCCATTCAATAGGGTATAAATGACAGGGAGACAATTCCTATTCTGTGGTCACAGTTCCGACAGTTCAGAAAGGCACAGTAAGGTGAATCCCATGAAGGAAATCTTTTTTGGTCCATAAAATCCTGGATTTGGCTCAGGCACTCGTCCCTGACAAGGATTCACAGGCTGGTGCCGGCCATTCCCAGTGTCCTGCTCCAAAATCCGGCACCAGGAAGCTGCTCACAGCCTCTTTTGGCTGTTGTGCCCTGATCCAGCAGCATTTGTCTTCCCAAAGTGTCTTCTGTCCTTCCACACACTAGGCTCTTGTTTAAATTCATGTGCTGCTTAGCTTTTCTATGGAGGAAGTTCGTAGCCTTAGTGTCTTAATGTGTAGACAAAACAGCTGGAAAATGCTATGCAAGGTATTTACATTTTTTTCCCCTAAGACTGATGCAAACTTTCCATGGAAATTGGCTTTTATGGACACCGGCTTTGCCGGAGGCTCTTTGCGAGTAGATTCTTTTGTTTATTTGTTTTCAGCTGGAATTTCAGAACTGTTTGTTGATAGTTTTACGTATGTGCTTTCCCGATCTGGCCTCAAATTCGTGGTCGCCTTCAAATAACGCACAAATGATGGAGAATAACCAAGAGAAGCTCGATGGGCTCGAGGGGGCTGCGGAGATCCACAGAGTTTCCAGCCTCGGAGCCACCCATTCCCAGGCTTTGCCCGTGCCGTATCCCAGCCCCGGCGTGCTGGCCATCCCCCGTGTCACCCAGCACCCTGTCTGCATCCATAATCCCAAGTTTTCCATGTCGTGCGTCCCCTGTGAGGCAGTTTGGTGGGCTCCCTGCCTGTTCCTTGTGCTSCTGCAGGGCAGCAGCCTGCCCGGGGCTCCGTGTTGCGGGCGATGATCCATGTGTGTGATGAGCTGGGTCGGGCGCCGGTGCCCGGCGGGCAGCTGGAGACGCTCGCACACCGTGGGGCCGCCTCTTGTCAGACACTTGCACCATAAAGACTCTGTTTTGTTTTCAGCATTCTTCCATTCTGGGCAGTGTATTTGGTGACTCCTATTATGATCAGCAGATGACAGCTAGGCAGGCTAATGCCCTATCCCATCAGGTGAGCAAATTCATCTCCRATTTTCAGCTCTGTCTCAGCCACGTTCAGCTTAAAATAGTATAATTCAACTTGGGATTAATTTCTGGGGGCTCACGTTTGGTTCATGTTTTCAGTTTGCAATACTCAGGTGCTCCCCTTGCTTTTCTTTTCTTCCTCCCCTCTCTTCCTCCCTCCTGGCCATTCGAGCAGATGTTTTTCAAGGTGTTCTGCCAAGTCTGTGGGATTAAAAATAATGAAAATAACAAAACCATTTCTGACAGTTGTTCCCTTTGGGAGGGTTTCACTTGTAGGTGGTAACAAAAATGTACTTCGGAAATTGGCCAACAAGCTGCATTTTGTACCCAAAGTGACCAGCAAAGRCGGCCTCATCTGGCCGGCCGGTTCACCTGATAAGTGTGCTCTTGTAGCAGGGGAAAAAATAGATGTTTTTGGAGAGATAAAGCTCTCTATGGGCAGATACCTGCTTCAGTAGCATGAATTGTTTGCCTTGCTTTGGTTTTCACTTTATTTTAAAACTATCTTTGCTTTTGTTCTTATGCTTTTGAAAGCGACAGTTTTGTTTTGGYATCCGCCCTTCCCTCCTCCTCTTGCCCTCTGAATTTGGCAGTGACCTATTCTGGAAAGCGAAGTGGAAAACGGACCATGTTTTGATGAGCAAAACTTAAAGATGAATTTGTTWGCCTGTGTTTTTCACTGTCGTTTCCCATCCGCGAGGCCTCTTAAGTTGTCGTGCTCTCTTTCCTGGTGAAGCAATAACTCGTTTGTACCTTGGTCTCTTCAGCTCGAGCAGTTTAACATGATCGAAAACGCCATCAGCTCCAACAGCCTGTACAGCCCGTGCTCCACGCTCAACTACTCGCAGGCGGCGATGATGGGGCTCACCGGCAGCCACGGCAGCTTGCAGGACTCGCAGCAGCTCAACTACTCCAGCCATGGAAACATCCCCAACATCATTCTCACAGGTAAGGCCGTCCCCGACGCCGCGGGCAACTTGGAGCCTTCCTGCTCGTGGGTTTAGTCCGCATGGCCTGACCATAGCAGTGCCTGGAGCCGAAGCGGGGATGCTCCTGTTGATGGCCGTGTTGCRTCCCGAAGGACTTTGTGGTGTTGTCTTTGGTGGCCAGTCTGGTCACGGCTGGATGTTGGAAACCATCTTTGCACTGAGCAAAGGGCTCAGTCCATATTTCAGCCTGTGCCTCTTGCTGATCATGGAAACCAGGGCTTTCGGTGCTGGGTTTACAGGGCAGAGGAGCCTGCAGCGACACCAGTTCGCAGGCCAGAATATATGAATTTTCCTTKGTACGTTATGTGTCGTTGTCATGGTTTGGAGATCTCTGACAAAGCTGTAATCCATCCAGATGGATGTAAGGTTAAGTTTTTCCCTTCTGAGCTTCAACCTCAGCTCGGAAAACTTATTCCAGGTTTTTTTGCAAGCTGTTTTATGGCTTTTACGCCGCCTCAAGAGGAGGTGTTTGCTCAGGGCCTCTCTCTTCCCCTTCCCTGCAGTGACAGGCGAGTCTCCTCCCAGCTTATCAAAGGAACTGACGAGCTCTTTGGCGGGCGTGGGGGACGTCAGCTTCGACACGGATTCCCAATTCCCCTTGGATGAACTCAAAATCGACCCTTTAACCCTGGATGGACTGCACATGCTCAACGACCCCGACATGGTCCTGGCCGACCCCGCCACGGAGGACACGTTCCGGATGGACCGGCTGTGAGGCCGCGCGCGCCCCGCGCTCCGCCTCGTCCCTTCCCTCCTTTGCACTAGAAGGGGCGTCCGGGGGCGCAGGGGGAGGCCGCGGCGCCGGCGCATCCCGCTCCCTCGCCCGGCCCCGCGGCAGCTTCGCCCTTCCCGGCGGCGCCGCTCGGTGACGGCCGCTCCGTAGAGCCCAGCGCTTGCCCCTGCCCGCGGCCACGTCCCTGCCCTGCCCCTCGGCCCGCCTGCTCTCATGCCCTGAGCAAACCCATGTCCTGGAAAAGCAGCCCGGCAGCCCAGCGGCCTCTGCAGCTCCTCCCAGCCAGAGAAAAAGGCAGAAAAACAACTGTAAAAACACTATTTCCAAACTTTTATATATATATATATATATATATATGTAATGGATATATTTATATATGTATACATATATATATAGCATTTCTGAGCACACAAAAAAGTAATATAATTCATTACTTGATTAGCGTGGAAGGAAGGATCAGAACCTTTTAAAGCAGCTAAGAGATGTAGGAGACTTAACCTGCAGAGCACATTTCTAATCTTTACTTTGTGAGAGATTCCTGGGCAACAGGAAGGGCATTTGCACAGCGATGCCTGGCTCAAATCATGAGGACTATTTTTTATTTTTTATTCTTATCATTACTTATTCTGTTACCATTATTTATGATTTTTTTTTTTWATTTAAGTATTTGGATATTAGACAAGTAGCTAAACTACATACCGCCAATTGAAGCACTCTACGTAATACTTGTACAGTACATCTTTTTGTGTTTTTATTCCAGAAATATATTATATATATTATATATATAGGTATTTTTAACTAACTGGAATTTTAAACAGATGCTGAGCAGAAGTAAGGAAGCCTAAGGCAAGTCTAAGTGTTTTTTCTTTTATATGGTCGAAATAGCGGGGCAGGGTCATAGAAATTCYGTCTCCCACCCTGGGGAAAAAGCAGCCTGCTCTACAGTGACCTAGTACTGTATCCTTGACCAGGTGGGGATTCTCTTAGGTTTAACTAGACTGGTTCTGTTAGTCCTTGTTAATACTCTGTGCTGCAGCGTGGCAGGATGGGGAGAGACACTTGATCAATGCAAATTAAGACCCCAGCCACCCGTAGCGAACCCAGGCTCGTTACTGGCATCTCCACAACAGGGGCACCTCTAAGGAAACGACCTTTCTATTATGCAGAAGCCCCAAATTAACTGATTTTTGAGTTATTTTGAGTTTCCATAGCAAAATACAAGGCACGTTTACGTTGGAAGGTGACCGAATCCCTTCCATAGAGGAAGGCAGTTGCACGCAGGAGGGCTTGGGCGTGGAGCTCTATTTGTATTTTATTTTAACTCTTCTCTCCAGTAAAAGAGCCGTGTTAGTTTCTCGTTGCAGGYGAGTTGTGGTTTGTTGCTGCCCCCGCTCCGGCCCGGCATTCCCAGCCTGCTCCCGTCTGCCGGCGCCCGCTTGTGTCCTAGCGCGGGATGYGCCACTTCTCCTCCAGGTCCTGGATGGATTTTAAGCATAAAACCCCCCCAACACTTTCCCTCCTCCCTGCACCCCCCTCAATAGCATCGCTCTTAAGGAGTTAGACCAGGCTTAATGAGCTCCCCTGGGCTTAATGAGTTATAGTATGTTTCTGTGTGCTTCCAGAAAGCTGCGGGACGCTGTCCTGAGAGTGGAGCAGCCGCTGCTGAGCAGAACCGCCCTTGGGACCCGTCCGCTCGGGGCGCGCGTTTGCTCTCCTTTGTGCCATTAGTTGACCATTTGCACTAAAAACCGCCCCGTTTTCCTCTCCGCTTGTGTTCGTCTCTTTTGTTCGTCCCTCCTCCCGATGGCAGCATCATCCCGCGTCCTTGTGCACGGCGTCCGTCCGGATGCGGGGCCGGCATTCCGCGTTCTCCCCATGTCTCCTGATTTCCGATTGCTAACGCTTTTTCAATCTAAAAGGTAAAAAAAGCAAGAAAAAAAAGTAGCTTCCAACAGGAAGATCCCCTGGAAGAGCACGAGGGCCCGGGACTCCTTTGCTTCGCACCGGTGCGAGCTGCATGTGCTGCGCGTGGTTCGCCTCCTTCCCTGGCAGTACTGTGAGTCCCCCGGGGGGGCTCGCTCCCCCCCGCTCAGATAACTTTTTCTGCATGTAAATTCTTGTTTGTGGGCTATTTTTTTCGAAGCAGAGTCACTTCAGAATGAAGCATCCGAGCGGGAATTGGCGTTCCTCGCTGCAGACTTTTACAGGGAGCTGTTGCTAAATGCTACCTTCCGATTTTCTTTTTTTTTTAAAAAAAAAAACCTCCGTGTGTATATAAGAGATYTTGTTTATTAGACTTGTAAGTAGACATTTAAAATGGCCTTAATTTAAAAATAATAATAATAATAATAAAAAAACCAACGCATCTGGATGCAACTGTCAAATTTAGGGACCATCTAATGGAAAGAAGTAACGGGGTTTGTTCCAGCGAGGCCGGGGCGGGTGTGAGGAAGGGGCTTCGAGCCGGCCCCCTCCACGGGCGCAGAGCTGCTTTTCCAGGAACCCTTTGGGAATCCGAGCGGTTCTTCCCACAGATCCTGCATTTTGCTTCCCCCGAGGCCAGTCCCGCGGGAGCAGCGCGGACCAGCTCTGCTCCAGAAAGGGGGGGTTTCTCTTCCACCCCCCCTATTTCTTTTAACATCCTTTGACTAAATCTAAAGCAAAATCAAGGTGTTAAATGCAAATGCATCCATCCACTGTAAATGCCGTCAAATGCAAAGCTGGGGCGAATCGCCGTGGTTCCAGAGCAAAGTGTTTTATTGTAAAAGCTGTTGGTGCTGTTTGCATTTTAACCCGTGCACAGTGGGGTGAGAGCTGCTGGCCCGTAGGCTGGAGAGCAAAGGAAAAAGCATCATTTGACCAAAAAAAAAAAAAAAAGGATTATTGGTAACTTCTTTCTCACTTAAAGACTTTTGAACTCATCTGGTGTCTCAAAGGGTTGCTGTCCCTGTGGACCTGCCAACTGAATCCCACCCTCTCCCTCCAGCACGTGTTTTTATATATATATATTACAAAAACAATGACAAAAAAGTAAGTTTCCGAGCTAGACTGTTGTATTTGCCAATATATTGGGGAAATAATAGGAATAAACCCTCGTTGTGTAAAATACTGTGATGCTCCAAGGAGAAGCGGCCTCGCGCTGCCCGGGGGCTCCTTCCTTGTGCGCAGCCGTCCCCGTCCCCTYGCCATGAATCTGCACAGGCCCCTGCCCCTCTCGCTGCTGCTTTTGCAGCCCTTTGCCTGCCATCTGGAACTGTGCAAAACCTCCCCGCACCCAGAACTTTGGGGTTGCTTTCCTTTTTCTTCCTTCTTTTTAAGAGACGAAAAAGGTTTCCAGGAAAGAGGCTTCAAATTCAAGTTATTAATCATTTGTACATTTTACAACTTTTTTTTTTTTTTATAAATTGCAATTAATTTAGTTTTCCAAAGCGTGCCCCAGCAMCATAGTGCAAACCACAAGAAGGGAAAAATCTGCCCCTCTGCACGTGCAGAAAAGCAGCGCCCGGGACCGCAGGGAATCCCAGGACCTCCCTGCAGCCCAGACCTTCCCTGTGTTCGTTTCTCCCAGCTCTTGTTTTCTGTGAGCCCAGGACCTAAAGCCCGAGCCCTCCCCGGGGACCTCTGCGTGCAGCGAGGAAGAGGAGGGGCCCCTTCGTGGCGCTGCGGGTCGGAGCGTGCGGGTGCCGAGCGCCGATTCCGCTGCGGACGGTCACTGTGATGGCAATGTGAAAGCGCAGGTAGCGGTTGTTACGTGTTTGTTCTTTCTAAAAAAACACCCAAAAAAGGCAAAAAAAAAAATATATATATTTGTAGTGTTCCTGTTCTTTGTATTTTTAGTTGCGTATTATTTATACTGCGCAGTGTAGGCATGGGTTGCATGTCGGGTTTCTATGCGGGCGCCGTGACGACATGAGAACTGTGTATTATAAATCATTTTTACCTTTTTAAACAGAATCATTGTGTGGACTTTCTATACTGCAAAACAAAGCACTACATGAAGTACTCTTATTCATTTGTGTTATTTATTTTATTATTTTGTGGGGGCGGCCGGGGTGGGTGGTTTGAACTGTGGTGTACATTGCCTTATGTGGGCTTGACCAGTTTTATCAAAATAAAGGCCTAACGGGGTAAAATGTGTTTACTGTTTTCTTGAGTTAAAGGACTCGGGGCTGCTGCAGGAAGGTGCGTGGTAGAAAGCAGAAATAGGAGGTAAATGCGAGCGGGGGCAGAGCTGGAAGGAGGAGGACGCAGCTGTGTGATGCAGTAAGTGCAGGGAGCGGGAGCGCCGCTCTGGGCATGATCCGGCTTCTCCGTGAGCGCTCGGTGGCAGGGCCGCTGTGATGGGAACCAGGAGCCTTGTCTCACCCTTTCCACTGCTTCTGCTCCCTAGTTTTCCCTTAAGGCAGTCAATAAATACCTGCTTCCATAGGACAAGCGGGAAGAAGCGCGCGGGGCTCCGGAGGAGACRGCAGCTCTCCGCCTGCTGCGGGATTCCCACCTCGGACCTGTGGGAGTTGGGAGCTTCTTGGCGTGAGTTCTGCTTTGCTGCTRTCGGTTCTGCAGTTTCCCGGGGTCAGGGGAAGCGGCTCTGATTCCTGTCTGGATTTCAGCTGTTCCCGGTGCATTCCTGGTGCAGGGAGCGGGCGCGTTGGGAAGCCCATCCCGGTTCAGCAGGACGCGGGCAGCGACGGGGCTGCTCTCCCGAGGTGACTGATCCTGTCTTGTCACTAAACAGCAGGCAGGGAAATGCCTAAATTACGGTTTCGTTTGGTTTAACTTGACTCTTTTTACTGAAATTTTTGAAGCGAACGCCACGCGTTGCATTTTTTGGTGCGTATTTTCTGCTCGCTAGAGAATCACAGTCCYCTAATCGCGGCATTTCCCGTGTGGACGGCTTTCCCATTTTGTGGATTGTGCTTGAGAAGTGGTTCGGCTTTAACAGAACATAATTCAGAGCAACTTAGGTTGCAAGATCTGTGTTTTTATAGATAAAAGGAAAAAATACTAATAGTTCTTAACCAGTATCCAGCCATTGGCTATTGCAATGGGCTTGTTCCACCTCCATGGCCAGATTTCCATGTTACTTAAGTCATTATTTGAGTTGGCCTCATCGTGGAAGTGGAGATGATGGTTCAGGCTCCGTATTCCTTAATCCTGCTTGTCCTCAGCCTATGGAACATCCAGAAGTTGCTGTTACCTCTTTAAATTTGCAAATAGGGCGGCCTCCTCATAGCTGTTAATGCTCAATGGAATAAAACTGATAAAATATCAGCAGAAAAATTAATGCCAGTGTTTGCRGGAGCTGTGTGGGGAGTGCACCGTGTTTAGGGAGGCACCACCGTCCCCATCCCTTGTAGGGACCTGGCTCTGTCGTTGCAGAGGGTCCGTTTAAAACAGTCCCTGCTGGCGCTTGGACACGTTGGCCTTTAGTCTGGCCTTAGCGCTCTGCAACTAACAACAGTTTGAGCAGTGGCTTGAAATACAAACACTGGGGAAATTTAATCCTGGGTTAATCTGTTTTAAGCAGTTTCACTGGCAACCAACAATAATATTGTGTAGAGGGGGCCTTTTATTCCGGAGCTGGGGCAGGGATTGGTGCTCTACACTTCCCTTCCGCTGCAGGGCTTTCCTTTGGATTTGGATTTCCGCTGCAGGGCTTTCCTTTGGATTTGGATTTCCGCTGCAGGGCTTTCCTTTGGATTTGGATTTCCACTGCAGGGCTTTCCTTTGGATTTGGATTTCCACTGCAGGGCTTTCCTTTGGATTTCCCCCTGGTTTTATGCTTGTGCAGGCTCCCTGTTTTGGGAATAACTTGGCGCGTGGCCGTGGGCAGTGGCAGGACTGGAGCTGCCTCTGGATGAGCTTGGGCACTGGGAGGTTGCAGCAAGGGCCGGAAGGGAGCTGCGTTTGAGTCCTAGGTTAATTAGCCGCTTAATGAGGAAGGCGCCGTGTCGCTCGGCGCGCAAGAGCGCGCCTGAAAATGAGACCAAACCCCAAAGAGTTGGGGTGCAAATAGGRGCAAATAGGAGGGGAATGATCCGTATCGTGTCGCTCAGAGGCTGCTGTGCTGTAAAATGCTCTCTAGTGGAACACTGTGTGACAGCACATACGTCAAGTACAGGTTTGCCTGAATCTAAGCTCTGTTTCCTATGATTTTTTTGTTTTTGTATTGCATATAGTTACAATCCCATACAGATAAAGCTTTAACGCGGTTGAAGGGCATCCTTTGCTGCAGGTAAGCGGGAACAATCTTCATGGCGGCGAGATTTTGAAATGGGAAAAGGCAGCGTTGAGGAAAGTGCATATTCTGCTCCCGAGAATGTTATTTCTACCACATTCCAATTCTGCCAAATCCTGATTTTAAGATTATTGAGACCTGTGCAGATTCATGGAGCCTTCGCTTCTTTCCTTAAAYGTGCAATAAAAATTCCTCCCCAAATAAGCTTAAATTGTCATAATTGAGTAATGGCTAAGGGAAGTCTCGGATAAGGCTTCAGCTGGTGCTAAGAGCTTTATCCTTGTAATGAATCTTGGCTAAATCCGTGCAAGTAGGGCAGGGGCTTGGGGAGGTGGGGGCAGCCTGAGCTAATACCATTTAAAAAGCAAAATACAAGGCGATATATTCCCCAAATGCTGCACACGCCGTTGGTTCCCATTGGAGACACCTGCTTCCCCAGTGCTGTGTCCTACTCCGCCTTTGGAACTGCTGTGTTTGTACAGGGAAACATAAAGTTCATTTGTACGTGTCCTGTGGATTATTCAATCCATGTGTTTTTATACCGTGGTTTAGAAGAAAAGGATTAAAAGGCCTCTGTTTATAACTCTAGTTTAAGGACTAGTAGCAGTGGAGTGTCAGTATTTCTTTCAGGAATTTTACAGGTTTAAACTTACCGAAATTGAGTTGAATTATACCATAAAAAGGGGCAGTTTTTTTATTAAACAGAATCTGCTCAGGCTGTTTGTGAGGAAGGGACAGCAGTGGGGAAGGGTCTTGGCTTACGTGCCATGATAGGAGCCTCCTGAGAAAGGACCAGCTGCAGCTTGGCTCACTTSGGAGACACTGAGCACAGGTAGAACCTTTGTGCTCGCAGGGTAAGCAATGGATATAAAAACAATATGTTAATATTATTATCAAATAATCAAAATATTGTTGGGGGATAAGAGACCTTAAATCTTTCTTTACTTCCTGGATCCTGAATATTCCTGGCATGAGCATCTRTACAGGCAGAAGACAGCTACGTATRTAAATGTATTCTATACATATCCACCCTTCTTTGGGCACCGTTATACAGCACAGTAATTAAAATATTGTATTTCGGTCAGCTACTAAGGTTATATTTGGGGAGAAACTGGTACTTTTGGAGACTTTTTACCTTAAAGAGATACTGCGTTCCCCTTTCCCTCCCCTTCTCCCCCGGCCGTGGAAGGATTCCTTTTAGAAATGGCAGTAAAATGTATTAATATGTGTGAAGGGCAAGTCTGATTTTAATAAAATTAACTACAGCTGCTTTGGGCAGCTCCTCTCATAGACTGGCAGCTAAAACCAACTTTATGTCGTTCATTGAGCTTGGGAAAAATGTCGGATTTATGCATTTTCAGAGACAGTATAATATACTGTTCTTTACAAGCTAAACTTTTTCTATTAAAATAATTTGTGGATTATTTCACTGATATATGCAATCCTCTATTCAGCTACAGCTTTGGTGGCACAGGAACTCTGGAAAAATTGTCCCTGCGACATAAAACTTCTATTTATTGTGCTTTTCTATAGGTAAAGTGGAAAACTGAAGTTGGCTTTAAGTGTTTGCAATCTGAGAAATGATGTGAAAAAAGCAGCTCAACTAAATGTACATTCTTTTCGATCTTTTCTTTTTTTGTGTGAAGGCTTTTGTCTTTGTATCTTTGCATTATTTGTAAATGAAATGTAATAAAAGTTGGACTGGTTTTGGCTCTGGTTGCTTAGCCGTTTCTTGCTGAGTTCTGCTCGTTGTTGGGTTTGGGTTTGTTTCGAGCGCAGCTTTTCAGCAGCGAGATAGGAAGGTGTTTTCCGGGCTCATGTTTAAAAGGAAAGCTCAAAATCAAATTATTTTGGCTGTGAAAGCTGAATTCTGTTTTCCCCTTTCAGAGGACACTGCAGGCTCATCTAGAAGACGCGTGTTGTGTTAAATGTTGAAAGGAAAGCTGCCGTCCYGTCAGGTTTTAGGGCTTGGTGGCAGTGCCAGGAGCATCTGCTTGCCTGAAATGAGAGGTTTTGTCGCGTTTTTGGACTGCTGCAGAGTTTGGGAGCGTTCTCAGGTAAGCAGCATTTCTCCCTGCCTGTGAACCAAGAGGAAAGGAGTGTGGAAATGCTCCGACTTGCCGAAACCAACGGTCGCCCCTGCAGCCGCGGCCCTTTGGAGCCGTTACCTGCGGGGAATGCTGCTGCACTTGCTGCTCCCAGGGCAGGGAAGCGGAGCCACCCCAGGGGACCTTTCSGGTTCATAAACTGCTGCTTCTCGTCACCTGGGACAGGATAACCGCCCCTCTCAGCTCTTCTGAATTAATCCTGCTTTTTCCTACCTCTTTATACGTGGCTGTGGGAAGGGGGCACCTGTATTTCAAGCTAAGGGGCAGGGAGCTGAGTAGCAAGCTGTCGGTCTGGATTAGTTTTTAGTCGAGTGTAACTGAATTGTGCTGCTCTAGCTGGGTGAGCGCTGCCTCTTTCATGTGCAAGCAGCTCTGTTTTCAGCTTCATAACAGTTCTGCTCATGCAGAAGCTGGAATTGGTTTCCTAGAAGCAGTGTTAGATCCCTGCCGTCCCCAAAGCTGCTTTGTGGAGGGGTTTCATGCTCTGCACGGAGGTGCATTTCTTCCTGTTAAGAGCAACCTAATGACTTTTTCCGGGGRGGTCTAGAACAGTAGCTGAGGATGCTCTGTGATCAGCCAGGTAGCAAGACTTGTGCAGCTCTTTGCTTAGGCCTTTGCCTCCAGCCTGTGACGCTCGCATGCAACGTGCTGGGCAGGCATGGGCCTGGTTTAAGTGCAGCTCTTGTTGCAAAGCAGCGTTCTGGGAGGAGAGGAGGAATCCTRTTCGCTCGTTACGTGTCTGGCAAAGCAGAAGGCAGGGCCTGGCCCCGCTCCCTGTACAGAATTTAACGTCATTTCATTGCAGAATGAGGCTCTAACAGAGCAGTTTGACCAGCAGCTCAGYGTTGAACAGGAGCTGCCTTTGTCACGAGGCGATGCCCAGGCTCCAGCATCCTGCAGCATCCTGCAGCGCGGGGCCGGGCTCTCCCTCAGGCCAAGGAGAGGCTGCTGCCTTTGCCTGTGTGGAAGAGCTGGGCAGCCGGCCAGCTTCCCGAGTACAGGAGCCCTCGTGGTGCCTCCGCGTTCAGCTCGCGCGAGCTCCGGGGCATTAACAACAACTGCAGCTTCCCCCCTTTCCTACCTGCCTTTTCTCCCAGCCTGGAGCCTTCATTTATCATTGTGAAAGCGGCTGCCGCAGGGTAGTAGGAGAAGGAGTTTCTTGAATGAACAATCCTGTGCATTTACCCTGCCTCTAGAGTTACTAATTCAGCTGAGGATGCTGCAGAAATACTATTGCTCTCAGCAGGTGAGGACTTCTCTGTTACATAGTCTTATGAGAAGTGTTTTGGAAGAGCAAAATGCATGGAACCAAGTAGAAGTATATTAGAGTATTTATTATCCACCCTTCCAGAACAAAGATCCTCTCCTTAAAGTGCTTTTTTTTAAATGTTTTGTGAGCAACTTGGACATAGGCTGCTCTTGCAACGTGCTTCTCCAACCAGCGCGGAGTTTGCTTCGCAGTAGGTCTTGAAAAGAATAATATACACTCTGAGAGCCTCCAAGGMAGGGAAAGATCCCTGGGAAACATCCATGCTAAACCTGCTTCAACAATTGCAGCTACTGCTCGTGGCTCCTCAGCACATCCCTTTTCTTCCACGGCGTGTAGAGAGCTAGWGTGTACAGCAGCATAGGCGTCTATTTACACTCGGTGTCTACACCTCTGCAATTGCACTTGGTTTTCATAGCGTTTAAAGGAGGTTGCTGCTTTAGGAAAGATGCCAGGTAATGCAGTGAATGTGCAGGGTGCAGTGGTACGTTACTTACAGTTCTTTATACAGTATACCAGAGGCAATAGTGGGGCAGCTGAGCACTTTTTTYCCTTAAAAAAAGCACTTTTTTTCTTTTAATAAAAAAAGAAGCAAGTGTTGTTGGACAGACATTTAAGGCAGAGGTTCGTCTTGCTGAACTCTATATGTTTCATAATCTTCTGGAATAGTATCTGAGGAAGAAGAGATTAAAGCAAACAGAGATCAGATGCAGAAAATCAGCATGAGCTAGCGCATGATTGTGTTGCAGTTGTGTMTGTGCTAACCGAGAAAAAGAAAGGGCAAAAGTTTCTGAACTTGACCTTCGAAGCCAACTCACCATTGCAGCGGTAACGCAGGTTCGACCAGATGATGTTCTCCTGGGAGAAGCAGAAGACTCCGAGCCGCCCTCCTCGCATGGTCGTATCAAGGACCACTCCAGTGTCTGCTACTACCTCAGGGCCTTCGTAGAAGCGAGCTCTGCAAGGGAACGGGCAACGGAGCGTGAGCAGGAGCCGAAGGAACCGCTTCCTACGCGGCTGTGTCAAAAAGTACACATTGTCCCTCTCCTTTACACTGCACCCAAGATGCTCCTTTTGTCGTTAAACTTCCAGCTCGGCCACAGCGAGGCACCCGAAGCCCTCACCTGATGTACCCAACTTGAGGCCGATGCTGCAGGAACCAGCGATAGGAAGTCTTGTCCTTCCAGCCGGAATTGCGCGGGTCTTTCCAGAGCAGCTTCACCTGGTCCGTGGTGTCTCCCGTGTGCCACAGGGAATTGCGGAGATACTCACCGGGGCCTGTCTTGGATTTCACTGCCTGATGTGGAGAAGAGACAGGCAAATTGTGTGAATAACAGCGTGATCCACCATCGCTGCTGTCCCCTGTATGGGGGAATGCAGCAYTAGGAGAAGGGCATGAATCCATTAGTGACTTCCAAGCACTCATTTCTTCACCTTCAGCTGGATTCCAGGCTCTGCGACTGCTCGGAAGGGGTTTGCCTGCCAGTAGGTCTGTTCCATCTGCTTCCACATGACCACGTAGAAGCTGGAACTGTCCTGGTAGCCGAATATGAAGCCGGCGTAATCGTCGTCTGTGGCCGTGTTCACGTGGAAGGTGCCCTCGAAGTCCACTCCGTTGAAGGCCGTGTAACCTTGAGCGTTAGGGAAACAAATAGTCTGTATTCAAGGTAAAATGCAGATTGTTCCCTCCAAAAACAGAGAGGGAGGGGGCTGTGCTAAACCAATCTGAGGATTCTGCTTTCTGCACAGAAAATATTCTCCTCCCAAACAGGGGGCAAATGGGTGAAATCATTAAGTGGTGACTGAAATATTCTTACAAGCTGCACTAGGAAGAAAGATACCCAGTTAATGATTCTTAATCTTGCAACAGAACAAAAATAAGAGCCTCACCTACAGCCAGACCAGGATCACTGTTCATSGTTTGAACTATTTCCATGCCCTGTGAAAGATGAGTGTTGACTTATTAGTTAATACGACAAATGTAAGGATTTACACGCCTTTTAAACAGTCAGGGGAGAGATACACAGGGGTGACACTGGAGGACTGGGCAGTAGCATTAAGCCCTGCCCTGGTTTTAGTGAAAACTGCATCCCCCTCAGTTCAGCCTTGGCACCAGCTGACTCACCAACCGGTTCTGAAAGTCACCTACCTGGTTGAGGACAATCCAGTTGGGGTCAATCTGTGCATCACCCTCAGGGTCCAAAACAACCGTCTGGAAAGCCCTGAAGTCTGTTAGTGTCACTTCTGCATTCTCTGGGCACACATCAATTCTGTCAATCACCATGTCCCTGTCGAAGTCCTCTTCACAAAGGTCTCCCACACCGTCACCTGAGAGAACACGTTACAAGTGACAAACTTCCATCAATATTCTGCTATCCTTGGCATGCAAGTTTTGCTCACAGTTGCAGATGACTCTGCCTGTGTCTGAGTGTGTGGGCTACAATTCTGCACCCTTTCTTTTCCTACGAGGCAGCTGTGAAGAAACCCTGACCCTCTCCCTCCTCCTTGCAGAAATGCTATGACTAGAAGAAACACCTTAAATCACACAATACTTGTCAAACACAATTCTTCTCAAATATTAATGTGATGCCAAGTTCCTGGAGMCCTGAAAAGGGCCCAGGACTATCTCAAGTCAGCACTGAGGAGATTAAACTGCCTGCCTGTCTTTGGTGGTCAAGCAGTCCATGCAAAGCTAACATAACAAGCATTTGTTCCTCTTACTGTCTGAGTCTTCTTGGCCGGGGTTAGGGACAAGGCGACAGTTGTCCGGTCCTGGCGGTTTCTCATCTGGAATCCCGTCATCGTCATCATCGTCATCGCATTCATCCCCTAGCCCGTCGTTGTCCGAGTCCAGCTGGGAGCTGTTAGGCACTGAGGGGCAGTTGTCCCGGGTGTCTTGGTGCCCATCCCCATCACTGGTGGGGAAAAAGAGAATGCAGGTAAAGATTCAATGCTGCTAGGGGCTTTTAAAGGAAGCAGGTAACTATTTTCTAGGAAGTGGAACGTAGCAAGAACAGGGAAAGCTGGTCATTTTTAGCCTTACGGAGTCTTATGCTATTGGAGTTGTACATAAAATAGATCAGAACTACTCCAGCTGTAGTTACAGAAGGTGCCCTCCCCATGCTCAAGGTTTCATGCAATTTAAGTAGAATTTGTGCAGGAAGCTCTCACCTGTCTTGGTTGGTATCACAGACATCTCCCACTAGATCATGATCAGCATCTTTCTAACAAAAGAAAGCAGTAAGCCTTTAATTTAACACAGATGAAACTCGGTAATTTGGAATAAAGGAGAGCTGTTAAAAGTGGATACCCTCACTGCCGCAGGGTTTTGATCAGAAAGAGCCCTCACACACATTTGCAAGTCACCCAGATGAACTGAAGCAGCAAGAAATGCAGGTGTGCAGGGCAAGAGGAGATACATCCAGAATGCTAAGATCCCTCCTTGTCATATTCCTCTGCACAAGGAGCTTTTTGATTTCTAGCTATTGCACYTCAGCATTACAGGATGGTGGCTGCAATTTGCAAGTGGCAATTTTGGCAAGTTACAAAGTGCACAGGCCACTAGCTGCGAGTACTGTCTTGAGCAAGAGAAATGGAGTGCCGGGACTGTGAACCTGGAGGCGGCTACTTACCTGGTCTGGGTTGCTAACTGTGGGGCAGCTGTCGCACACGTCGCCTACTCCATCTCCATCACCATCTTTTTGATCTGGATTAGGGACCTTTTTGCAGTTGTCTTTTGGGTTTTTGATTCCTGCAGAACACACAAAAAACGACCCATCCAGTCGGTAGTGCTGTTGGGATGCATGCAGTAAGAACCTTCTGGATGTAAAAGGATTGTTAATAAAACAACCATACTGCACTGATATGGGTCTCTAAGCACACTGCTGAAATAGGAAGTGACCCTAACTGCGTTCCTTAGGGAACACCAAGGAACTAAGGAATGTTGCTGCAACCTGGCACCGTATCCATGCAGGACAGAGAGACCCAAACCATGAAGCTGTCTGCAGTTCCCCAAACCATAACAGAGCCTGTTTCCTCCAAAGCAGACGGCTACATAATTCTGAAGTAAGTCAAGGTTACCTTTGGCTGTTTTACATGGAAGATTTCCACAGTGTCTTTTCAAAGCCTGAGACAGACAGGAACAATCTAATCAGCCACCTGGATGACTTCATTTCCTACTTTTCTGCATTTACCTACTACCCCAGCAAACCATGCCAGCAGGGAGCTACTTGGCAGGAAGCAGCAAGACCCAAACAGCACTAGATGCACTGGAAATAATCTGTAAATAAATACGTATGTGTCAGGCCAGCAGCAGTTGTGATTGCTGGCTTTGGACAGCAGGCTCTGTGTAAATAAAGCGTTACTAGTACATAGACTGTTTCCAAAACCAGCTACTTTCCTCTCCTTTCCCCCTCCCYGAAGGCAGCCCTGAGACACGCTGCCCTGCGATCCAGTAGCTTCTAACAACATGGATCTCCCTGCCCCTTTACAGGAGGTTAAATTGCAGCACAAAGCCGTGTCCTTGTCTGCGTTGAAGCCTGTCTGGTACGTGTTTCTTTCTGAAAGACACCACAGTACTCATTTCCGAATGCATATAAGAAGCATGCTAACAGAAACTAGCCTGGAAATAATGTGTGACAGAGCCTGAAACCCTGCGAGGGCTGCACTGTGAACGACCGTGGCTCGACTGTTGATCTTGGTATCTAAAACCTGAGCTCTGCTTTATCCTCGCAGAAACCAGCTCTGTTCCTGAGAGCACAAGCAGGCTGCCTGCCATCACGAGCCGTATCTGGGCACCAAGGAGCAGTGCAGGYGGCACCTCTTGCAGGAGGTGCCGCGGCTGCCCTTACCGTCACCGTCCATGTCATCGTCGCACTCGTCTCCTTTGCCGTCGCCGTCGATGTCCCGCTGATCGTCGTTCTTCACGAGGCGGCAGTTGTCGCAGGCGTCCCCGAAGTTATCCTTGTCCGCGTTGCGCTGGTCTGCATTGCGCGTGTACACGCAGTTGTCCTGCGGGACAGAGGCAGCGGCTGAACGGAAGCGTTTGGCACCGGGCACGAGATAGAGGCACGAGGGAGATGAGAATTAGGGGCTGTGCCAGCGCTGCCCCCAGTGCTGCATCTGCGGGTGGTCTTGGTTTCCTCTGTTTAGCCTCCCCCAGGCCCACCAGAGCTCAGGTAGGGCAGCCTGCACCAACTGGCATCTTCATATTATTCAGATAAGGAGGAAACGTCGTATTCTGTGACCTGCAGGCTTTCCAAATTCACAGTAAAGATGGGGGCAAGTGGTTTGCAGGACCTTTGGGTACATTTAGGCATCACAGGGTAAGGTATGTATTTAGGTATGTCAGGGTAAGCCTTGGAATCCAAACCTCAGCATTTAAGATCCCGTCTCCATCAGCATCGTCATCACAAGCATCTCCAATCCCATCCCTATCTGCATCTTCCTGGCCAGAGTTGGGGACAGTCACGCAGTTATCCTGAAAGAAAAGCAAGGATCAAGTGCCAGGGCCTGCTGGCAAGTCGTGCATATCCCAAAGCCTTTGGGTGGCACCCGGCAAGGGCAAAATCATCCCCTCAAAGGCGAACCAAGTCTCGGACACAGGAGTCTCAGAGCCAAGTCTCCAGCCCCTCTTACCTTGCGGCACTTCTTGTCAGCGCAGCGCAGCTTTTCATCGGGGACTCCGTCAATGTCCGTGTCCTTCCCGCAGATGTAGCCGTTCCCTGCCCACCCCACGAGGCACTGCAAGGTGGCAGATAAGCAAAGGGAGGCTGCTGTCAATTCCTCTGACAGACATTTGCCTCCAAAACTGACAGTCCTACATGATAACAGTGCAGACRGTTGCAAATCCAGGTATACAACTGTGCTGGAAAGATACTATCTGTAACAATTATGCTGTAAACAGTATTAAGCAGCTGAGATACAAACTCTCTGCTTATTCCTGAGTCTATAAAGACAGACACAGCAGCAAAACCTCGGCTCYAGGAGGATGCAACAGGACTTTCCCCGTCTCAGCTCTGTGCAGGGCCGGGGGGCCAGCGCGGAGCTCGGGAGGCTCCGTCTCCAGGAGAGGGCAGTGGCAGACCCAGCCGAGCGAGCACGAGGCAGGGGAAGGCGGCGGGCAGACCCCGGCGCAGGCCTTACCACGCAGGAGATGGAGCCATCGCGCTCCACGACGCACCGTGCCTTCTCGTGGCACGGGCTGGCTTCTCCGTTGGGGCAGCGTCTGGCTGTCTGGCTCTTGCACCCTGTCGTTTGGTCCCCAACAAAGCCGGGTTTACAAGCTCCACACTTGTAGGAACCCTGCAAGAAGCAGCAATAAGGAATTAACCTGAAGGTTAAGCCCCAGCAAACTGTTGCTGTAACCTGTCCTCAGCAGCTGGACAGCCCTATAGCCTAGAGAGAAGAAGTGAAAAAGAGACCAACACAAGGTTTTCCAGTAATATTTACCCGTGTATTGATGCAGATGGAGTTTGGGACACAATTTCTGGCAGCTCCTGTCTCACATTCATTGATGTCAGTGCAAACCTGTCCASAAAGAACAACAGAGACATTAACTTCATTCTTAAGTGGCTACCTTGCCAGGTTATAGAACTAGGACATTATTAGCTGCAGATATAAAGCCCTCAACATACCTTCCCGGGCCCCCATCTCAATGGTTTCCTTAAGTCAAGGATCCCAGCAAGACTCCTCACCCCAGGCAAGTTTTTCATCCTCTATAGAGTCATCAGTRATTTTAGCCTGGCAAAATAGCTTAGCTCTGAGCTGAGCTCTGAGCATCTCCTTAGCAGATAAAAGAGAGTCAATGGAGGAGGAAGGTCAAAGACTGTGTCCTAGGACCAGTGCTATGACTCTAAAAAACAGAGGCCACAGACTGTTCTGCCTTTTTATTTTTTCCCCAATATCTATGGAAAGCTTTTCCTAGYGCTGCATAGCAGCCTTCCCATTAACACAGTACAGTCACGTATCTCCCGCCCATATCTCCGAGGGCTCCACGATCCTTGGATTACAACTGAATATTTTTTTTTTGAAGAAAACAAGAATTAATGACTCCTSAAGGAGACAGAAGCATCCCTGGACCTTACCTGTTTGTTGGCCCTTGCATAAGCGAGTCCAACCCCTTCGACCGCTTGCCCAGTGAAGCCAGGAGGGCAGGGATCACAGTGGAAGCCGGGCACGGTGTTAATGCACTGGACCTTCGGGAAGCAGGGGTTTGCACTGCACTGTAAAACAGAAGGTGCAAACACAATATTCACTGCMTTCTTGTACGCCGTGCTGGGTGAAGCATCGATTAGTGCAGCAGATCCCACGTTTTGGGAGCTAACTAGAACGTTAGCTCCATCAACCCCACAAGCTCGCACGGATCCTTTAGCTTCGCTCTTTTTAAACTATAACTTGACAGAAGTGATGGGGCTTTGCGAAACACAACAGGCTGCTGGACTAGCCAAGTGTCACAAGACTGTGGTTTGAGAACAACACAGCTAAGGAATCCTATGGACACGCAAAACCAACAGCTGAGCACAGCTTTAGCCATGCAGAGAGCAAACTTGAGAGAAAAATCTCACTTTCTAAAGACAGTTATGAAAAACAACCCTCCTTCCCCCAAATCTACCTCGCTAGGTTTGATTTAAAGGTGCAAGTGAAGCAATCTAAACAGTGTGGTACTATTTACTGTATGCACACATCTCTCTTTGTGGAATGTTCGATTCTGTTCCACACATCATAAATCTCATCTCTAACAACTCATCAACTGTAAGCTCAGTAGATTGTAGGAGCAGAAGTTTTGGTTTTCCTAACTCACCTTCTCATGCAGAACAGCCTAAAGGGTTTATTTTGGTTGAAGCTATTGGAAGAAATCTTTTTCTTTTAGAAAGAAATGTTTCTTTTAGAAAGAAATAGATGTAAAGACCCCACTGAACAGAGCAGGAGGCAAGGTGAGAGATGCAGACCTCCTTCCAGGGAAATGTTCCTGTTCAAATGCTAAGGGAATTGCAGTGCTGGCATCAACCACGGGACAAACCCCAGCACTCCGAGCAAAGCCAGCCAACTCCATAACATCTCAGCTAGCTTGCCTGGCCGTTACCTCGTTGATATCTGTGCACTGGGAGCCGTTGCCGGAATAACCSGGGGGACAGGGTCCGCAGCGGAAGCCAGTGGCAGTCTCGGTGCAGGCCACTCCGGGGAAGCAGGGATTGGGGACACATCTGTTGAACTGTGTCACGGTGATGACCGGGCCTGTCACCTCGGTGTGCATACCTAGGGGACAACGGGGACATTAAGAGCGGTCACAGTCCATCCTCAGGTGGTCCCGTCATCTCAGGACGCTTCCCACGCAGGAGGCTTCCTTGCAGCCCTCCCCAAGGTTGGGCAGTCGTGTCTCTGTTTTATAAATGGAGCAAAATGAAGCCAAAGGCAGCAGTGTGACAGATTTCTGAGTCAGAGAAGACCAAGGCAGCCGACTCTCCTCATGCTTCTCCTTCAGGAAACAACAAAAAGGCAACACGACTGATGCAAGTCACATTATTCAATAAACGACTAAAAACAGTTCTCTGCAGTGAGCAGCACAGAAGAAAAATGTACATATAGCAGAAAAGAGACAGACAGAAAGTTTGAGAGAGTTTTATGAGCCACTTGTTTAGGCAACTGCAATGGGTGAATGTATTTCCGTGCCTCAGTGGGAGCAGGCCTAAGGGCATTGCTGTTTGATTTTTCTTGTTTTAATTACATTTAAATTGTTTTAGGTATTCCTAACATTTGTCTTAAGCAGTATTTTGCTATGTAGAAGGCACACCAAGTCAAACTGTATGGGATCTTGCCATGTATTCCCCTGAATATCCACTGAGCAGGAGTAGGGTGAGGGTAAAGAGTGATTTGGAGGTCTTCAAAATCCTCTTGGATGCCACCCTGTGTCCCAGGTGTCCCTGCTGGAGCAGGGGGATGGACTTGATGATCTCTAGAGRTCCCTTCCAACCTCAACCATTCTGTGATCCTGCGATTTACTACTTGTTTGGACAGAAACGTATGAAGCAGTTGGACGAGGCAGCTGGACACTGGGCATTTCAGCTCAGTAACTCACCACAGGCATCGCACTCCATGACCGTGTTCTTCAGGAATGTTATCTCCTTAATCTAGAAGGAAACAAGAACTGCCACTTAGCTAAAGGATGAGCTTTCCTCCCACGCAAACCYACTGCCCCACTGCCAAAAAGGCCCTTTCTCTGGAACTGCACAGCTACTTACAAGCAAATTAACTCTTATCCCAAAGCCTGTGTTACAGGCTGCCTGGCAGCTGGAATGGCTTGTTCCCCTGCTGTAGGTCACTCTTGTTGCAGTGTCCCTATAGTCTAATTAGGTAAAATATTATTCTGTGACAGATGCAGGAAGCACTAGATTTAAAAACATAGAAAATAAGTGCTACAAAGAATGAGGAATCTACTTTATTTGGGTCTTGTACCCTGGAAGATGCTGAACTAGCAGTGCTAGAGGTCTACTTCATCCATAGAGGTCTACTTCATCCATAGTGCAGGCACTGCAAAGGTAAAGCCAGGGAGACACAAATACATCTAAAGATCCCTCTCCAAGGCTCCTCTCTCCAGGCTTCCTCTGATCTCCAAGCTCTTCCTTCAAGTTTGCTTCAGCACACAGACAACCTGTAGCATCAGCAGTGAGGAGAGCCCGTTCCTTGGGTGGAAAGAGCATGGGAGAGGCTCAGAGAATCTGCATCAGGAAAATAGATCTGGCCTTTTGTTRCTCCTCCTTTTTGCCATCCTTAATGGCAAAAATATCATCCATTTTGCTTCCTTTGCCATTCAAAATGCTGATTCAAGAAAAAAATACATTTTAAAACATTTTTGCATGTATTAATAAATGATGATCTGCCACCTTGGCTCTCCAGTGATATATGCAAGTTTCTCCTCTGATTGGGCCTTTCCTTGAAAAAGGCCATTGAGAAAAAAAAAAAAAAAAAAAAAAAGAAAAAGAGGTGGCAAGAGCAAGAGCAAATATAAAACCTGTATGGAGAAGCAATGTTAAGCTGGAAGGGAACACTGGAAATCATTGCTGCAGGCTGCCAGGAACCATGTCTGACCTGATTCCTAGTAAACACTGGGTATTTATGCAGCAGCCTGAAATGTGAGAGCACCTCAATGCAACAGATGTTTTTGCAGATTAGAGGCCGCCCAGTTTGCCCTGGCACCGAGACCCGTCTGCCATTCCCATCATCTGGCAGGCAGAGGCTGCTGCCCTCAGCTCCCGCAGCGGAGAAAGGGAGAATGGAGCCTTTCTCTGTGCTTTCAAAGAGAGCTGACCAGACAAACCACCGGCTCCTCATTAAAAGGGGAAAAGATCTAAGCACCCAAGAAGCTCCAAAATCCCTTATAAACTGCTGGAGCCAGACAGGCTTAGGATTAAAGCAAAAAGAGAAAGGAGTGAATGCAGACCTTGTTTGGACTCCATAGGACTTTCCTTTCCAGGACCCTAATAGAGGGCTGAAAGGTCCCCTCCATCTCCCGGGTTTGGCCTCTCTTTCCCGATCTCCCAAGCCCACAAAACCAAGGAAAAAGTGACTTGTTTTTCCAGCAAAACATATGCCCACTGTATTCACATTTTTGTTCTTTTGCCACTTATGCTGGTTTTTGGCAGACATGCTTCCAAGGAACAAAATTTGCATTCAAATGAATCTGCTTTATCCCAGAATTACACATCTGACTGCAAGGCTGTCTTCTGATCCTCGTCTTCATAGCAAAATAATAATAATAATTTGACATGAAGCAAGAGGCCTCTGTGCTGCACAGCTTGGCACACAGGCAGAGGGCTCGGCGGTCACTCCTGCACCGTAGGAGACSGGCTCCCTTCCTCACTCACCTGCTGCTTTAACAAGTCTCGCACTTCCATCAGCACCCGGTTCGTTTGTCTCATCTCCTCCAGCATTTCAGGGCCAACTTCAACTCCTATCAGAAACACAGGGGTTGGAAGGGTTAAAAGCAAAACTAAACCCCCAACAGACAGATGAGCTATTAGCAGCACAAACCAACCAATATTAACTACCTCCGTTCAGTATTAGAGGTGAGGAATCCTCCACACCTACACCTCCCAATTCCCATTTTTTCTTGTTAAGGAAGCCCCCTTCCTACAGGTTTGCTGGAAGGAGCAGTCTTGCACATAGGCTGGCTTTGCTGTGGGCAGGACGGGGCAGGGCAATGAGCCCTGCCTGGCGCTCAGGTAGGCTCAGCCACCCCTCAGCAAACAAGCCGGCCTTGGCAGTGGTGGCTGCTCACCAGGCTGCCCACGAGGCTTTTCTGCCAAAGGAAGGCTTTTCTGCCAAAAGCAGCAAATTCAGAATTCAGGGCTGTGCAAGCTCCTGGAGGGAAGCTCTTTGCTGAGTCTAACGTGAGCGTGCTGCATGCGAGGAAGGAAAGGCACTCCAGCCATCGCCTGCGCTCATGTCAAATAAGCTATAGGAGACTTTTCTTCTCGCTGTGTGAAGGTGGGTCTTTTGTGGTAGCAGCAGCTTCTAATGGCCTTGCAGTGGCTTTGGGAACCATCTGCCTGTGAATGCAGCACTGAAAAAGCCTGTTTAAAGGTTGGACAGAGGATACAAGTCATCCTAAGAGGTCATCAGTTGCCTAGACCTTTGAGACATGCTGATAGTCTAGACTATATCCTTCAGCTTTGCTCAAGAATAACTGAATACAGCTCAGTAGGTTCTAGATATTTGCAAGTTTTAAGAACATCTGAACAGCTGAAAAGCAAAACAACCACCACCATAAATGGATGGAACAGGGTAGAGTTCAACTCTGATGTTAAAGACCACACGTCTTTGGAGCTCACATCTCTACAGCAGAACKAACTACAGTCCCCCTTGCTAGGGACAGGGGCAGGACACTGGCCCATACTACTGACTTGGTCCAGAAATTTAGGCATTCTTGGAAGATAAATGAGCCCCAAAGCCTGGTGGATCCTCTATGCACAGAACCAAAATGACTTGGGGAATATTTGTAACCTCTCAATACATTTTAGTTTGGGAACTAAACCAAAAGCAACACCGATGTGTCAGTCTGAGACAAAAATAATGAATGAAAGGACTTTTTATTTAAGACGAGGAGCATTCACATGATTTCTAGCTTCAGAGTTTTTGTATGAGCTCCGCATGAATGCTCCAGGCAGCCTCTGTTACACCTAGGAAGAATTTTCTATCCCTAGGAASAAGATGTATTTTAAAAATAAAGGATTTGGTTCTTTTCAGGTATTCAAATTCACAAAAAATATGGGTCATCCACTCAGAAACAAATTCCAGAAGCAATTTATGCACTTGCAGTCATCACTGTGCACCCTTCCCCTCGGGCTCATTCTCCCCACACCTGCTCTCTGATCTTTCCAGCCGGAGCCTGCGGGATCTCGGAGCTCCTCCTGGGTAAGAACAAGYCCCTCGCAGGCTCTCCAGGAAAGGAGAACCTAGAGGGAATCAGTTCCTAGAAGCTGGGTTTTCCCTAAGCTCTGTGTACACAAATAGAATAGCCAAGGATCCTGCCACAGGACGCTTGGGAGCTGCTGGGTGTCTAACTCAATCGCATGCAAAATGCAGATTAACATAAAATTACATTCTGTAATGACCTGCCAGRCAGACAAAATGTGCATTTGCCTTTTATTTTTTTCCCCCCTTAATTAAAAATCCTCCCTGTTTGGAAGGTGAGGTGGAAGGCAGAGAGCAGACTGAGCATTTACACACTTCAGCTTAGAATTTCATATGAAACTACAAMTCTGAATGCATTGTTTCCAGGCTTGGGCAGATGCAGTTGAAACATTATCATCTTCTTCCTTTCCCTGCGACAAAACAGAATTTACACAGCAGTACAGAAAGCATAGAGCTAATTAAAATTACTTACCTGCTCTTCTCTGCTGGCATGATGAAAAAGGACAAGAGAGGCAAAGGAGAAAAACTAAGGCTAGAGCTGAAGGCATCTTTGCATCTACAAGCAGTCTGGATGCCCGGGCTTCTCTTGCGATGAATTTTTAACCTGCAGGTTTGCTTCTGCTCCCCATTAGTGTCTGTGGTTTGCTATTTATGAAGTTGCATTCCTTCCTCTGAAGTTCTTATTCTCTGATGCTGGACGAGGGGTGGACGTCATTTCTGGCTGCTAGTCCACAGAGAACGTTACAAAAGTAAACAATATGAGAAAGTCATCAGCAGTAGTTTAATTTTTTTTTTTTTTTTTAGGCCAGCATGCACCAAAATAGGTCAGAAAATTCCAGAATTAAATCGATTCTTTTGGAATCGGAGTTTTATTTCTTCTTTATAGACATAGGATAGACAGATGATTCATAGACCTATCCCTCACAGTCTTTTCCTTCTAAAACTGCTCACAGAAGCCACGGGACATCTGGACTTCACTAGAATTTCAGAAAAGGCTCTTTAAACTCCCCAAAGACAACTCAAGCACTCATGCTCGGGGGGGAATTACTGAAACAACTTCTAACTCCAAACTCTTGCATCTCATTGCAGAAATGGATCAGCCAAAGGGACTAGCCCGTAGGGACAAATGTTCTTATTGTCCCTGCCGGGGTTTCCAGGGGCAGGACACAGCACAGCAGTGACTTTGCTGTCCCTTGTCGGAAGGAACGAGCCTCAGTCCGACACTTTCCAGTCAGTCGGTCTCAATCCAGCCCCTTCCATCGGGAGACACAGAGCGGATTGAGAAATCTGCTTAGAGCAGCCAAAGAAAACCTGTTCATACAAGAGTCTTAAGCTAGGACATCAAAGAAACTGCAAGTATAACCGTAACCTGCGAAAAGGTTAGTCTGAGGAAAGAAAGACCAGTGAAATATTCTCCTATTCTCACTGCTCAATTGTGAAATGTGCCAGCACGACGATCATACAACATCCTTGGGGACACCACAAACAGGAGAGTCACAGAGAACAGGAGATCAGTCTTTAAACCGTCACAGCAGCAGGATCCTTGCATATTTACATGACTTTTTTTCTAGCTTTGACCTCAGAGACCTCCCATGTTCAGAAGACGACTTTTCATCCCTGTGGCCATGCACAGTTTGAGGGTAACTGTGCAGTCTTGTACTCCCYGGTGAGCATGCATGTCCCCAGAGAAAGCCACCAAGCACTAGTTTCATATGGCAGGAATGCTGCAAGAGAGTTTACATTTCCTTGCACCAGCACAGGTTTATACTAAAATTAAAGCTAATTATCTGGGTGATCCTGCTTGTGTAGAACATGTCATCCATGTCACACACAGTGAGTGACTTCTTGCTGGCTCTTCTTGCCTGTTTGTTACTTGTGGTGAATGTAAGTGATTTAGCTGCAACTCACAACTGCATTGCACAGTTCTTAACATTCCCCGGTCCTTCTTGATAAATCAAAACCATGCCAACCCATTACTAAAGATATTTAGTATCTATTACTAAAGATATGACAATAATGCTTCTCCCAGTGATGCTCTGGGGAATATTATTTATAATTTATATTTTCTAGCAATAAATAGGGGAGGAATGAAAGCTGCTCCCATTCTACAGAGACCAAGCCGTGGCTCCCTCACCTTATGTTTGAAGATGTTGTTGTCAAACAGCACAGCTCTGCTCAGGTGTCTCCATACCTTGCTGAGGGCCTTAGCCAGGGCCTGCACAGTGACAGAATAATGCTCCTTATTGCTCACTTCATCTAAGCAAAATGAAACAAAGCATATTGGTCTGAATTACAGCAATTGTAAGTATTTGAACAATTAGGTCTTTTGCATATTAAGGCAATGATCATATGTCTTGGTGCTCTTTTTTTCCAGAAACCCAAGACCTTTCTCTTTGGTCTGCAACAGTTTCTGGAATCACTGCTACTCATTGATGGCAGCAAAATAACTGTACCAAGAAACACGCAGCTAGATTCCACACAGCCTTCTGGAGTTGAGCAAGACACGGTGTCTCCACAGGGTGAGGTCATTCCTACCCTTATTTTCCTTGGAATCATTCGACAGCTTTCTATATTCAGATCTGAAGACTAGAAATCCCTGTAAATCACTGCTCTTAAACACACAGTAGCAGATCAGTGTTCAGTCAGAGCTTGGACATCTTGGGGCCTGCATCCGTTTAGAAAGGACAAATTAAAAATAAACTAATATGTCTTGAACTTCTTATTATCTGGTGTGGAAAATATCTTCCAGATTTATTAATATTGCCTTTTTTAAGGATTACAGATACAAAAAAAAAAAAAAAAAAAGAAAAAAAGCAGTAGCTAGTGTTTATTTAGGCTTCAGTGTAACAATATTTTTGAACTCCGTACGGTGCCAGGACAGTTACACCTTTTTCCCTGGAGTTGACATCACAAGCGAAGCTAGCACACAAACAGACAACAAAAAGAAAAGCTCATGCTAATTTCAAGTTTAAATATTTTCCATTTCTGTGTTTTTAACTAATGTTTGCCAAGTGAAGGACAAAAGTCAGAAGGAAAAAGTGAATTTTTTTTTGCAATTTTGTAAGGTCAAATTCTAAAAATAAGTGGAAAACACCTACACCCTCTGAAGTAGTTTGCTGTTTTACAGTGTTTCATGCACACCTATGGCCATAGCAGAACAAATCATGCAACAAGTGACCAGAAGAGACTTCAAAAGCCATTTTCTCCATTTCTTCCCCATATAGGATCAATTCTATACTAAGGTTTCTCTACTCTGTTCTTAAAAGCCTCCTCCGATGGGAGAGAAGGCACAGAAGACACCTTACCTGTTCTGCTCAACTGCAATACTACATCTGAAGCTGTGCTAACCTTATATATTTACCCAATATTCACCTGTATTCCACTCATTATCAACTAGCTAATGAGTAAGAAGCCTAATACCTCAGAATTTTACAGCTCAGCAAAGAACACTTGCGAATTCCTAAGATCTCCATTGTGCAAAGGACTGGGCAGTGAGAAGCTTCATGTCCTACAGCCAACAGACACTTCAGTTTTGTCCTACCTTTCTACTGTGTGCTTCCAGCCAAAACAAACAAAAACCTATTATTTTCGTAACATTTTGAAAATCAAGATTTTACAGCTTGATCATGTACAACGCTTATTACATCCGTTGCTAAAACATAGTCTCAACAAACAGGATTCCTGAATGAYCTGTACTTACAACTATTTGTAATGCAGAGATAACAAAGTTTAGGTGTGACTTCTAAACAGTAGCACTAATACTTTGTGGAGGGCGGATGCATTATCTGACATAAACACCTAGAGCAAATGAGGTGATATAGGAACTCCACAGGTGCCAGTGTCCCCTCCTTGGCCAGCAAGCAAGACGCAGTGTCACAGAAAGGCTGTTCTTGGTTGTGTGTGTGTGAAGAGTTGCAGCTTGCTGCAGTCTGGTTCATGTCTCCAGCTTTCATTCCCTCCAAGAAACAAGATGCAAGGTCACGGAAGACCTATTAAAAGCATTTTTAATATTGCTTCCATTTAACCAGCGGCAAGTGCAACGACAGAGAATCAATCCTGCCTAACCGAGTGTCTGTGGCTTCGTTCTGCACCATGTTAACTTTACCACTCCTTTTAGTTGTTGTTTTCTATCAATTAATGGAATTTGACTATTATCTGTAAAGCCATTTACACAAGTTGCAAACACTGCTGAGTTATTGCAGTACCACATCCGTGAAAGACTCGAGTTCTAACTGCTGTTTTTTTCACGGAGCAGCAAGAGCAGGGCTACCCTGTTAGGGAAGACAAGCCAGGAATGAAGCAAGAGAGAGCAAAGTATCAGCAKGGCAGTGGCCTCACTCACCAGGACAGTCTCACAGCACTTGAGGATGGAGCAGGGGACCAAAAACAGGGTCCAGCAACAGTCCCACACAGAGAGGTGACAAATCAGGTCCAGTGTCTGTCCAGGGAACAAAGGCAGGAACAACAGGAGACGAAGCCAGAGACGGGGCTGCAAACAGCCACACTGCAAGTAACTCAGGGCAGGATTAAACACCTAGACTTAAGCTCAAGTGTAGTCCCAAGCTAAAGGGTAAGGGTGGTGGAGTGGGGGTGCCAGATGGGGCTGATCAGCACAATCAAGGCCAGTAGGGCCCTTAGGGCTGACTTGGTTAATGTGGGATCTTTCTCAGCTGCGCCCGCTGCGGCGCATTCCTTGCGGCGCATTCCTTGCAGCACACCTAGCACAAAAAGGAAACAAGAGGTGGATTTCCTCCTCCCSGAGTAGCCTCTGAGGAAGGCCTGGAGTTTTCTCTCTGCCCAGGATGAAAACCTGATGTTTTACRATAAACCTGGGATCACCTTGGATGCAATGCTCTATTTAAAATGCCTTCTACTGCTTCCAGGGCCTTGATGGATTCTGATACTGCAATTTCTTTGTCATCTGTGGAAAGATCACAGCGCTGTCAAACATGCTGCAATTCTGGGTCTCGCGCTGATAATCCTACAGTTTCCAGAATGCCTCAGACATGGTGTCAACCTAATCTGAAAATACCTCAAACTCCATTTAGACAACAGAGGGCAGGAGGCCAAGGGGCTTTTAGAAGCCCCCAAATTTCCTACCAGCCCTCATTGAGTTCTGCTTTGCCTCTCATTGAAGCTGCCAAAGAGAAACCGTGAGGCATCAGAAGCCCAAGGGGTGGGAAAGCAGYGGCATGCTCCGATCAAGGGCAGCTTCTTCCCTGCTTCTCCCTGTAATGAGGCCTGCAGATGGGGGTGTAAAATACTGCCAGAGCTCCTGCTCGCCATCGCCACCCTGCTCAAAACCATTCCCTCGCATGTTGTAATCATACACCCAGGAGGGTTGTTGCCTTACAGGAAACATCTCACATTTTTTCCCTTACTATTCATGCCATTTTCTATTAGGGACAATAAAGACTTCTAACACTGGATTAAACTCATTTGCAACAATGAGCTACTATTGCTCCAGGAGCCAGCGGGAGCTCAGACTCATTGAGGGAACTGGGAATAATTAACTGAATTGTACTGGAAAAAAAGGAGAAGACTGAAGGCTGTTTTGACCAAGAGAGATGCAAACTGATGCTATGGTTAAGCCATCATGTCTCCCTGGGAATTATTGTTGGGACTATCATTAATGCTTGGAGTATGCAGGGTTTTTTTCAGTAAAGCGGCTTTGGCTGTGGTCTCCTTTTTGGTTTTTGCTACTCAAAGACAGAGTCATAATGACAATAACACAGTTTTACTGATTGCTTTCGCTCGTTGCTCAGTACGTAACTAAGTCCCTTCCCAAAACTCTCAGGGATGGCAAAGCTTTATAACAAAGGCCGTTCTAAAGAGGCTGGCGTTTCTTTTCCCCTAAATGATGTATATAATCCATCCCTGTGGTCAGACCTGCTATTGTGTAATCTAGGGGTCTTCGGCAGCAGTGTAAACAGGAATTGTCTCATTACAGAAGGGACTGGAAGTGCTCACGGCTCTGAGATCACGCATGTAGGTGGGCAGACAGCACGTATGCTTTTTAATGGTCTATGGACCTCTCTTAGGGAGCGCCGAGGGGCTTTTGATCATTTACTAAACTGCTTAGCTCACGAGAAACATCTGCTATTGACCCATTCATAAGCAGGATATTGAACTGAAGGSACCCTGCAAATCTCCTCTGATATGTTGCTGGCACCATCTGCACATGGCTAGTTCAGTAGCTACACATAAATGCACATACTGTGTATAAATTATACTATTTCTGCACTGTACACACAAGTATTACACAAACCAGTGTTTGTTGTCCTCAAATTACTGCCTTGCACCCACAAGCTGGCACATGCCATTAGTCCCTGGCCACGCAGCTTCAAAAAAAGGAGGAGTTTCCATAGTGCCTTTCAGCAAGGAAGACCCCAATGAGCCTGACAATCTATTCATACCTAATACCACCCGAACACAGACACCTTTGGGACAGCTCGCGCTGCCAAATACATAACAGAGTGCAGAAGAGCAGAAAGAAGGAAACATTTTGCCTTGGGGCTCCAGAGCAAACCTTCCTTTTTATGGAGACAGCCAAGGAATGGTGAGCATCCACTCGCAGGAGACAGCACTGTGCTTTCTATGGTCAGATCCCAAAGACCCACAGAGAAAAGGTGAATTTCACAGTTTATTCTGCCTCAGAAGTGTGAAGTGGTAAGTTACCTTTTCCAACACGTTGGACGAGCAGTTCTGTTCACTGTGTTCACACAGAGCACAAAGCTGTCCTTTCTGTAGGTATCTCAAGGGAACATGGAGAAATTTTCCACGCCAGAAGTTATATTAAGGGAAGCAGTTGAGGTCTTCTTGGACACATTCAGCAAAAAGCTGTAGCTTTTTAATAAGTGTTGATTCAAGATTAACRATAGTTCTCTTGACGCTTCCGCTCTCACTGACTGTAACAGGAGCCATTTTCCTTCCTATTTGCTCCTTTTCACATAACCTCTCCATATCTTAGGAGAAGCAGCAGCAATGTGTCGCCTAAGGGCTATCAAAAGGGACTTTAGGGAATTGGGGCAGAAGATCAGGAACTCAGGTGTGTAGGTCGTATTCTCTTCCATTCTTCCCCGTGCTGGCAATATAGAAAGAAACAGGAGGATACAGTCCATCAACACGCGTATCCGTGGCTGGTGTCATCACCACAGCTTTGGGTTCTTTGGCAAGAGGAAGCCTTACATGGCACCAGGCGTGATGGCATCTCATGGGATCCATCTTTCTCAAAGMGGGAAGAGAGCCCTGGCCATGGGCTTCTGAAGGCCACGTAGTGAAGCTGCAGCTGCCCCAGCTAGAATGAGAGGCACATTGGGAACCCAAGAAGCTCATCACTAGATGCAATACTCCATACTTACAGATGAGACCACAGACTTAAATCCAGCTTTAACATGAGTAGTTTAATACTTACAAGCAGATATATGACTTTTCTTGCACGAGGGAAGTGGGGGGGAAATGTCTTTAGGAATTAATGATGAAAATTCTTCTGGTGTAGGTGCTGCCTTCAGTTGCCACGAAATCACAATGACTAGGAGCTTCGTGGAGGGCCCAAAGAATGGAGACATACATGAAGTGCTGACAGGTTGTCAAGGCTATACTCTAAAGTTATCTCATTATCCATATGTAAAATGAGAATCTTGAATATGAAAAACAAAGCTTTATTGTTTTAGCAAAGCCTTAATATTCCACACACAAAAAAACCATTCTTCCTCTTATGATGGTGGTAAAGAGGAACATTCTCTCTCAAAAATTTAAGCTGATAGCCCACTTCAACTCATTTGTGGCTTTTGTTAGAATTTGAGCAAAGAAGAATGAATATCCATCCTGGAAACTCGTTTTCAGGTCTCTGTCCCCCAAAATCTTGCCTACCAAAGGGCATCCACTCAAGGATGATAAACTCAGTGCCTTCAAGACAGACCCCATTATATCACAGCARATCTTCCACACTGCTGCCCCCTTCCAGGATTTGCCGGAGGCATTCCATAGGCAGTCTGTCAAAGATAATTACAGCTGTCATAGGAATGAATAGACAAAAAYGTTCACGGGCCCACGCTCCGGAGGTGGGGAAGGACACTTACCGTCCTCAGAAGCAGGAGCACTTTGTCTCTCTCCAAAGAGAAATCTCATCTGATGTAAAGGCGAGGTTTCAAACCGAAATGAGAGCACRGGCCCAGGCAGCTGAGCACTCGTTCACACTTGGTTAGATAACAACATTAAATACTCAGCTGCTCTCACGCTACAGGCCCCCACTCAGGCCTCACCGCAGACAGGTAACGCTCAGAAACCTCCCCGAGTTGCTGCTTTCCCCACGCTGAGGGGTATGTCTGTGCCACCTGGCCAAGACCTGCAGAAAATAATTAACAGGTAAAAGTCAAAGGATCATCTCAAAAGATCTATTAATATATAAGCAGTTTCATTTGTGAAACTGTTTGTTCCACCAACTGCTTGTTTCATTGCCTGTGGAAGCAAAGCAGCTACTGGCTACTAAATTCATGCTTTTCCTGGCACATCAATTGTCACTCTATCTTATCATACATCTCTTCTCACAAGCACATTCTATTTCCATAACCTTTGAGACATTACGGATTCTGTCTCTATTTCAAATCCGTGCTTCTTTGTACATCGTTTATAAACTCAGAGGAAAATTCAGCATCATCCAGACCATGGACTTTTTTTCCATCCCCCCCTAGAGAAATGGAAAAATGGCAGGGATGTGCACAGGCTCACAAGTGGTGGGAAGTTCTCCAGAAAGATGGAGTCTGGAGGCTGATCCAAACCTCCTGAGTTTTCAAGAAAAGATCAGACCAGAAATCTCAGAGGAATGAACTGGCTCTGGAGATTTCTGGCAATTCCTTTTCCTGGCCCCACCCAAAGCTGAAGAAACAGCCACAAAAGCAAAACTAATCTTTTTTTTTCACAATATTTTTTCAGTGCCATGGAATGGACAAAGATTCAGAGTTAGTCCTTATTTCATTTAAACTGCTCTTCCCATCGAAAGATCGCAAGGACACATATTCGGACTGGTTGCAGCAGTCACAGAATTACTCTTAATTTTAATTCCACATAGAAACCAGAAGTTTGGTCCTCTGTATTTTTGCAACGCTTCCTTCAGCAAAGGCCAATTGCTTTTGGCTAGCAGAGCACRCAGTTTCTTCCATTAACCTTTACTGAAGCCAAAACACTTTGGGTGTAAGCGACATCGAGTTCCTGAGACAATAACAGCCAGAGAAATACCTATCATGAGAGTGGAATCCGAGAGCTCTCCCTGCACTCCAGCTGCCTTGCCTCTCCTTGACATCGTTTCAGTCTTTGAATGCTCTCTGCACAAGTCATTACACCCTTCAACCCTTCTTCCAGGAAAGTGCACACAATTCCAGGAACCCCACGCCTCAGGTGAATAAATAGCAACCACAAAAAAGCAAATTTCTACTGGCAAAGCAGGAGACAACGTTGAAATTGCGAGGGTCTCTATGTACAAATGCAGCGGAGGTTACAGCAAAGGCCTACATTTCCCAAGGAAATCAAGTATCGATGCATGGCTCGGACAGGAGACCTTCTGGAAAGAGTAATGAACGTGTCTAACCCTGTATACTCAGCAAAATCTGATCTCACCGCCTGAGATCATTTGCTGGCTTCAAGTCACATCTGGGAGTTACTCCTCACATAGTGGGAAGGAACGTTCTAAGGAGATCCAAGTTTGACTTCTAAATCTCCCTATGAAACAGGAGCTTTGGCCATTGAGTCCTGCAGGTGCCTCCTCTCTTTTTTTCCCTTAAGATGAGGTTTTGTGGTGGCCTCTAGTGGAACATGGGAAGAACAGAATAAAAAAGGAGGAGGAGGGAGGCATGTGCAGCCTCCTGCAATGCTGACCAGACCTTCAGCTATTCATACGGACCACTTCTGAGTCACACTATACTGRAAAAGACCTATAATAACAGTCTTTAATGACATTTTTGATGTTTCCTGCTGGTTATCAAGTCCTGAGAACGCCCTGTGTTTTGCTTCAGCATTTCTGCTCCCACAGTACAGAGCATAAGCGAATGCACTATCTGACTAGAATTACAGTCTCCCTCCTCTCCATTTTCTATTAAGCCCTCAAATTCATAGAAATTAGTGTTATTCCTCCTGCTACAGAATTTTCTAATTGGGTTTTTCATCCTTGACTTTGGCTTGCTTTGGACTTTCCACAAGCTATTTATTACTCTGTGCACCTTCTCCCGCTGTAGAAGGTCTTCTGCATCTTGGCTAGTGGCCTTGCATTGCTCTTGATCCAAAGGAGTCCTTTGTTCAGTGTTTAATATTACTCTCTTTGTTTAAATGACATCATTACCAAAGTGCTATTTAGAATTATTGCTCTGCAGACCTTCGCATCCTTTTTACAATCATCTCTTCCATTAGGATCACACAGTAGCCTGGTGCCAGGAAGGTGGACTAATRTGAGTATCTTGCCTAAGATCTTGCCTGGTACACCACTTACTTGCCAGGAAGTTTCCCCATAGTATCTTTTATTTGCCTTCATACTATAGCTGAAATCGAGGCCATAGGATCTAGTTCAACAACACTTCATTTTCTTAGCAACATTTGCTAACAACTGCGTAAGATTTCTGTGTTCTGGCTTCTTCCAAATGACATACGGCTCGGGGATTTCTAGACCAGAACGGAGAAGCAGTTTGCAAGCTTTTCTTTGATCCTAAATCAAGGGCAGTAACTCATTTTGTAGTACATATGGCCCTGTTGCACAGTGTCTGGACCTCATGATGGGTTGTAGGCTTGCCATGGGCCTGCAGGAATCAGGGAGACTGCACTCCCATTTCAGCACTTGTAGCAGCTGCTGACACATTATGAATCTCAAAACCTCTGCAAATCTGGGAGCTCGCTGTCCTCTTGATCTTTTCATATGCCTGTTGATGAAATCCCGCCAGCGGCCTGGGTACATTCCCGAGGAGCTCCCGACTTCTGGGAAGGCGTTACRCAGCTACACTGTCACCATTCACGACCTGTGTTCAGTACTGGCTTGGTTCCTCCTCAAATCCACAGCATCCTGCAAGGAAAACATTCTTYGCACGTCAAGTAAACCTCTCCAACCTGAAACCAGTCTGGTTTAGGCACCCAATATCTTCTTGCCCTGCATTCACCCCAAGTCTGCAGAAATACAGGGCTTTTAAGAAGAAGGTTTCCATGCTGGCAAAGATACTTCAACACCTAATACCTTTGTTCTCCTTCAATTATAGATCTGCATTTTCTGAAGCAAGGAAAAGAGGAAAAACAAATTCTAATATTACTTGCTCTACCCTGGAGCAGCTACTACAGGATGTTACATTTACTGTTTTCTAAATTTTTAGTATATACAGTGCAAAAGCAAGCACTAGTTCATAGATTCTGTATTTCACATTAAAAGGAGCTGACACGTCAGTGAAAAAGCCAAAGAGAATAAATCTTGTGAGCTGGCAAGGAGAAAATTAGATGGTTGGTATTTCAGGACAAGGATCATCTTGGGTGCATATGTCATATTGCCACATTATATGGTTTAAAACAGATTCCTACATGTATAAATTTCAGAAAATTTTAGATTGGGATGCTAATAGGTATTAGCAAAACCCAGAAGGTAACATAGCTAATAACTGGATGGCTTGCATCATTTCATTTTTAAGACAAGTGCCAAACTAACAGACTTCTCCCACAGCAGGAGGAAGGATTTACTTGGAACATATGTTGAGAATGGAACCATATTATTCACTCAAACAACTAGCAAATAAAATGACAGGGTGGGTCTGAAAAAATACGGCTTTTCATGCAATTTGTTCTCTTAAGATACTGTTTGCAAAGAAATAGCCTCACATTTAACCCTGTTCAAGTTAATTCCTCACAGTTAAAAACATGTCCAGCAGTAGAGCTTGCAGAAGGTTGTTATTGCATTGGAAACTAAAGCTAAGACTTGAAGTATTTACAAACTCAAATGAGATACCAGAGATAACCTAAAAATTCAACACTCTCATATTTTAGTCACTGAAACAGAGGGACACACACCAGTCCACAGAACTCAAGCGCACACACCAAAACCATTTGTGAAGTACTGGGTTTTACATTATGCCAAAATAACCTCACTGCTTCTCCATCCASCTAGGATAACTGCCAGAAATCAAAACAAAGAAAGATGCACAGTCTTTGTAGTCAATCAAGAGCTTCAGATTATATTTTCAAGCTGAGATGAAACAACAGTTATTTTGAAGAAATCCTGTTTAAAGAACTGTTGATGCCCCTCTACAAACAGAATATTTTTAACAAGTCTGTTCCCTCCAGAATTCCTACAAAGAAAGTCTTAATAGGCAACAGTTGCTCTCAAGTATCTTCTTGAATATAGTCATCAATCCCAGCACTTTTTCTTGGATTTTAAAGATGATGCYTTTCGCTAGCAACATGGATTTTATGGCCCATTGCAGAGAAGTAGCTAGCTCACTTCATCTAGTATTTTTGTTACCAAAAATTGTGCACAAAGCCATAATTCCTGTTCTTAAAAGGGTTTWTTTCTCTACATTAGTTCTCTGAACTCAGATTCTGTGTTATTGTGGTATTGCTTATGATGAAAACGGTCTTCTGAAATTCATACTCATACAGCTATTTTCAAGGAGCTTTGAAAGATTTAAATATATTTGGGCAAAGGGGAAGGATTTCAATTTCTGTACTAAAACAAGGTGTTTTTAAGCATTGTGACTTGTGCAGATCCCCTAAACAAAGCAGTTCACCCAACTAGAGGTGCCTTTGTCTCATCAGGGCTGGAAGTAAAGCTCTACTGACATTAGGGATTCATAGATTGCATGTGCTTTAATATATGTGTTGCATTACCTTTGATCTAATGCGGATTAGGATTGTGTCTTTTAATTCCACCAGAGTCCAATAAACCTTTCAACATCTGCACAGGGTTTTTAAATGGTCCACTTATTTCATGAAGGCATTTATMGGAGATTTGTTCTTATGATATTTGCATCAGCCATTAGTTCCTAACAATCAAATACAAGTGAAAATCAAATGCAAGTGAACAAATCCAGAAAGGCCTCATAAATGCTCCAATATTTGTAGGCTCAACAGCTAGCAATGGAACAAAAATACAGCCAGCTCAACCACTCTGTGTCCCGACACCACTACATTCCAATAGGAAAAGGTCAGGAAAGATTATGAAGTTCTGGGAAAAGATCCATCTTAGCTCTTAATACTTATTAGCACATTTTATAAAGTCCATGAAGCTTTTTAGAGATTATTTGGGATGATGGAAGCTATCGAAATGTTATGATCCCACATGACCCTTCCAAACAAAAGAAAAATATATGTTGCTATGAATCTGCATAAAGCTGTTTGGATTCATTTTTTTCCAATGCCATGTTAGCTTTCCTTCTATGTCCCTCTTGTGGTGACTAAGCAGAAGTGTAACATCTGCAATGGAATGGCTAAACCACAATCCTCCAAATTTTGCTTTCTTGTGGCATTTTTTTCATTAAACGATCTTCTCTTTCAAGATTCTTGAAAGAGAATAGGTGCTAAAATGCAGGAGAAGTGACAAAACAGGCAATAAAATGACTAAATATGCAAAATAATTTTCCTGATTACAGTTATAGTCATATAATATTTTCATATAATATTTTCATGCATTGCAAAATCTGTATAGAGTTTTCCAATATGTGAGTATTTCTTATGAATTCTTTTGCTGAGAACATGCAATACCAACTTGCAAGATATCTGATAACACAAAAATCCGCTTTATACTTATTGTCCCGTAGCCAGAGATGTTTTATCCCAGGATAAACATCCCAGGATAAGAACACTTGATTTTTTTTTGGCCAACCCTGTCATGTAAAATAACAGCTCTGCAAAGATTTTTCACATGCAATTTGATTGGCTCTGAACCCTGCACGTCACCACAACACTTCCCAACACTATCTCCAAGGCTTGGAGTTTGCAGAGACCAATCACTTGGTTCTGTTTTTATAACAGCTTTTTTTTTTTTCTCTCTCTCCACACTTCTCTTGTGCAGTCGTGAATGAAGGATGTTAGCAAATCCCAGCACTAATTTCTCTTGGAATTGAAATGGGTTTCAAGGAAAACTCTTTGGCATTATTCTGAGACAGGATTTAATTATTTCTAACAGCTTACCTGCAGGACACATTATTTCTGCACTTACAGTACAGAGAAATCTTTATTATCACCTCTTCAAGATAAAGAGCTTAAACTTTCTTATTTATGGCAGCAAGCGAAGCATCCTCTTAAAACTCTTCTAGATCTGTTCTCTTGGACGTTTTTCAGAATTATGATTAAATAATTATGCTATGAGATAAAGACACAGCCTCCTCCAAAGTCATGCCTCTACACTGGTATAAATACATTAACCAGGAGCCCAATGGCCACAACTAATTGCCAGTTCAATCTAGCTTGCCCTTATCAAAACACATCAGAGTGAACTAAAGGTTTCCCACAGCCAACACAGGGAGGGTTTTCTTCTTACCTGTGTAAGAGGGAACGGAAGCTCCCGGAGGGTGGGGGATCCACAGAACCTCTTTGCAGCCCTCCAGCTTCAGCACCTTAGACAGCAGCRCGATTCCGACCGAGGACACGGCCCACGGCGCTGGTGCTTCCACACCTGGAGYTCTGCTTCTGATGACACTAGCAGCACCACACCTGCAGTTTTCCGTATGCTTGCCAGCTAACATCCCCCTGAAAACATTCGACAATTCTTATTTTCCATAATATGCAGAGGATAGGGGAAAAAATCCAGGCGACCATTAGCAACACATCAAAACTTTGATCACTGTCCTAAACTTTTGAGGATTTTGTAAACCAGCCGAAAGCTGATGTGTGATCTGTTAATTAATAAACAACTATCTATACCAAATGGCTACCGAGTTTTATAAATTTCCTCTTCRATTCTGTTTCATACTAATGTTGAGYTCATTTTATCACAGTTAAACTTTTCCSTGAACTATAAAACAATTAATTTCCAGTTTGCTTTATGGTAATASCCCCTGCATGCTTTCCAAATAAGAACCATCAGTTATAGGCGGTTCTTAATCTAATTGTGTCATTCAGGAATCAAAACAGCCTGAACATTCAGATTGTCCTGTACAACTGCTGAAGTTATATACGATTTATCTTGATGTGACCATGCTAAATTGCAGCARTCATGTAGAATCCAATTTTCATTTTACCTCTTGATTTTAGTGATTTGTTTGATTAATCTGCTTTAATCTTAATCTTGATTTAGCATGCTTTTATAGTAAATTTCTAGTGCAGTCCAGTTCTTCACAAGTAAATCTTTACCTTCTGAAGGCAAAGTGGAATTCAAATGGTTGGTGCGTGAAAATGGTAATACCTGTATTATCTATACTTGCTTTCCCCAACAAAATTTTGTACACAATATTGCCTAAGGGATGCATTTCAATCTTCAGATTGACAGCTGCAAATCCAGTACCACATACTATTCCAGTTCCAAACTTTACATTAACAGCAACAACAAAATTACAGCTGCTTTAAAAAGTACATACGTACAGCTCACAGCTGTCTATCAAAAGATTTCCATAGGGAAAAAGGATCGAATATCTASCTTTTCACAGCAGTGCTCTTCACAATACAAAGGTTATCTTAAAAAAAAGAGAAAGAAAAAAAAGAAAAAAAGGTTTTCTGAAATGAGGGCAGCCAGGTTTTCTCAGGAGCTGTGGGCTCAATCACCCACCTTCCTCACCTGGGGATTTTCCAGGGCATTACCCYCATCCTGTGGCCATTCAGCTGTTATACCGTTAAATTATGACCGCTGTAACGGGCGTTACCGCCGAAGTCCCAAGCTCCAGGCTGCTGGCTGGGATCGAAGGGCCCCACAGGGGCAGGATTCCCGTGGAGGGGACACAGGAGAAGGGGGAARCAGGGGCATCACCCTGGCGCCCCCCAGACCTACCGCCTCCACAGGGCCCCCGCCACCACCCCAGGCTCGCCCGCCACCGCCACGTCCCCGTTGTCGCCTCCACCAACCTCCCCCTCACAGGGCCCAACGGCCATCACGGGCCGCCCTTCCTCCTCARCTCGAGGGCCCATTGGCCGGCAGCGCCGTCAGTCACGTCGCAAGCCCCGCCCCCTACGCTGCATGCGGGGGCGGCAGCTCCCCCCACCCTCCCCCGGCAGGTGGCTCGTGTTGGGGGGGGAGGAAGGGGGCGGAGCGTCGCGAGCCTCTTCGCGCCTTCCGCGGAGGCCCCGCCCCGCGCCCGCCCCTCCCCAGGTGTGTGCGTGCTACGTCACCCCCCCCGCGCGCACGCGCCGTGCTGGCGTCGCCGCCGTTCCGTGCGCCGCGCGTCACCGCTCCTGGCCTGGCGCGCGCCGCGGCCGCCGGACGGTTCCGCTGCGGGCTCGCTGAGGCGGCGGCAGCGGCAGCTCGGCCGCCTCGCTCGCCCCTTCTCCCTCCCTCTCGCGCGCCCGCCTTCCGCCCTTGGCTCGGGCGGCGCAGCGGCGGCTTCGTCGGCGGGCGCGGCCTGGTGCGCGCCGCGGATCCAGCCGCTCGCGTAGGCGCCGCGCTGAGGTGAGGCCCGGCCGGCTCGGGCCTGCGCGGGGGGGGGCGGGGAAGCGCCGCCGCTCGCCGCCGCCATGAGCGTGGAGGCGTACGGGCCCAGCTCGCAGACGCTCACCTTCCTGGACACCGAGGAGGCCGAGCTGCTCGGCGCCGACACGCAGGGCTCCGAGTTCGAGTTCACCGACTTCACCCTCCCCAGCCAGACGCAGACGCCGCCCGGGCCCGGGCAGGCGGCGCCGGGGCAGGGCCAAGGCCCGGCCGGAGCGGGGCAGGGCCCGCCGGGAGCCATCGAGGCCCAGGTGAGAGCGCGGGTTCGGGGTGGGGGGGTCACCGCCACCGGGGAGGCGGCGCGGGGGGGTCCGGAAGGGGCGGGCGGGCGGCGGAGCCGCGTGGTGCCCGCGCGGGGCGGGGGGGGGCGGCGGCCCCGGCGCTTTTTGGCCGCGCGGGGAACGGAGAGAAGGGGCCGACCCCGGCGGAGCCCGCGGCCCCGCCGCCCGGTTCCCCCCGGAGGGCACCGGCAGCTCCGGGGAGGCCCTCCCCGCTCCAGAGCGCGCTGCAGGTGGCCCCCGCTTATCGCAGTCGCCCCCGTGGAAATCCCGCTCTTTCGTTATTGCTTCCTTTTTTTTGTTTACTTTCTAAACTCAAAAGGTTTAATCGTTGTTTGTTCTACTTTTTGAGTATGTTTTTGCCCTTATTCTCTGCTCCCTTTGCTCCTGCACAGTTGCTAAGCGGGTTTGTTTTGGTTTGGTACAGCAGCGACCAAAGTCACTCCCCCTAGTACGGGAGCAGCGTGGCTTTATACTCCCTTTGGAGGTCTCTTTTTTGCAGTAATTTCGAGAAATTTGCCTGTATTTTCTTAATGCAGTTGATGGTTGGTACCTTAGCGCTCATCTATCAAAATACATTTTTGTGGAAATGACTTTACAGAAGTGAAAGCAAAGAGGGAATTGGGGTGTTACACTCGCATGGTAGGAATTGTTTTTACATGRAGATGCTGCCTGTCTCTGTGCTTCATCTTGGATATGTTTGTAGAAAATAAATAAAATAAAAAAAAGCGAAACTGGGGTCTTCATTAAAAGGTGGTGGAATGTCCCGATAAGCTTCATTACATCCAGATAAGCAAACGCTTATGTAGAACTATTGTTAGCAATGGATTGATTGTAGATTATCCCTGTTTTAAGAYGAGTTTAAAGATGCGTTGAAATGCTGCAGGTAAGTTATGAGTCTTGCAAAGTGGCTGATTTGGTTCCATAAATGATATAGCTGTGGCTACACAAGTGGACAAAGTCAAACCAGGCCAAGCTGTYGAGGTGTTGAGAAGCTACAGGTGTGCAGAATAAGGCCAAGAGTGATATTAGGCTATTCTGGCCATAGCAGATATATCCCAGGGGATTTGGGGGACTTTCTCCTGCTTTAAGGTTCTTTATACACCTTGGGAGTAGCTGTTGGGATGTGCCTTGCCTCAGGTTAGTGGGTTTGTGTCTAGCTAAAGGAGGGGGTTACTGTTGTGTCCCCATGGACTGTTTGCTTTATTTTATATTCATTAGCAAGTTGACTTTAGATTTGGCAAGATAAATCTTGTTACTGTTTGGGCAGCAAAAGTATTAAATCTTAATAAAACGTATGTCTCAGTACAGTCAGTGTATGCATTAATTAGTTAAAAGGGTGGCTTTAATAAAATCTTAGTTCTTAATGCTAGAGTAGATTGTGATCTTTCCAGAACTCTTTGTAGAGAACTTTGAGCCAGGAGAACAAAAACCCAGCCCTGAAATAAGCTTAYACTGAAAGACCAGACTGGAGGATTATTTTTTTGTCTAAACGTGTTTGAAATGCCTTTGAAGTAAAAAGGGGGAAAAAAAAAAAAAAAAAGGGCTCACGCGGTTATTGAGAATTTTGTAACCATCCTGGCAAGGAGAAAAGGTTGAAGACTTTTTATTTATTCTACTGAATACTTTTAAGCTGTTTTTTTTTGCCAAATGTTCTTGATGCCAGAAATTGTATTTTAGGGAGAGGGGAATGGACCTATTAGAACAGTACCTCCCAGAAACCAAATCCCTTGATCTGTTCAGACTTGTGCATTTCAACAGACTCATCTCAGATAAGATCAGGAATTATGTATTTTTAAAGATTGAGGAGTACTGTATTACTTTGAGTGAAAATGTAAACCTGCCATGTATTCTTTKATAGTGAAGATGCTAAAAATGTAACTTGCAAGACCTGAAAATCGTTCACGTCCATTTTTCCATAGTTAATTTTTGTTACTGTAATTATAACTAAAGCTAATTAAATGTGTAATCCTTATTCAAAGCTGATAAACATTGGAGGCATGTCATCGTGCCCTGCTGCTCCATATTCTGATAGCTTCTTAGTGCCTGAAGTTTAAAAAGATGAGTTAAGCAAGACAGAGAACCTAATTTCTTAAGAAAATGTGCTTAACTATTCCATAAGAACTTTCTTCCCCTATATGTTTATATATACAGTTTAAGAGGATATTGTTGCAATAGATTAGTGCACAAGGGACAAAAGATAGTGAGAGGCTAATAGTGCAGAAGCAATCCTGCTATTTCTCTTTAGAAAAGCGTTTTTTTTTTTCACGTAGCATATTTAGCAAAACCAACTATTATGTTCAATTTCAATCCTTTTAAGAAACAAATCAATTTATCTTATTCCCCAGCCCTCTGGACAAGGACTTAGGATGTTAGGAAGCAGTCACGTGTTCTGGGTCGGTGACAGACAAGGCACCTTGTCTTAACGTGCACTAAGCTGTTTGAGCAAGTGATTGCGGGAAGACGGGTCAGYGATCAGATTTTGGGGACTCAGTTTATCTCTCAGCTCTACCAAAGACTTTTTCTCTTGTATCAGAATGACTTTCTGCTTGTCAGTTCCCCATCCAGAAAAGCAGCTTTTGTTTGCTGCCCTGGAGGCTCTGTGAGGTGAATATTCCCAGTAACACTTCCATATTTTGAAAAGAAGAACAAGTAATAGATAATATCAAAGCAAAATATTTTTTCTTTAGCTTTAATGTCTAGAATATCACAAACAACAAGTGAT